ATATATATATTTAAAAAATAATCTCCAACCTTTTTTGACCAATAGTCCATTTTTTCTTGTTTTAATAAAATCTTTGACTTCATTCTTGCTTTCTTTTGTTGCCTGCCCAAATTGACCAACCAAAAATGATAAGAGGTCAGGTAAGAAATAAAAAGCATACATGCAGCAAGATGAAACAACCACCTAGTGATCAAACAAGGAATCATCAACCCAATAGGCTCCAATGTGAAGCAAAAAAAAAAAAAAAAAAAAGATTTGTTATCAGACACCAAAAGTCATCAACCCACAAACACTCTACCACTGATTAACAAACAATCATCAATTCAATTATAGCAAATTTTATCTATAAACAATCGGATAAACTAAAATCCACAGAAAGAAAACAGTGATTCACTAACAATTATCAACCCATAAAAAGTTAGCATTGATCAACAAACAATTAAATGAAATGTGCTTGTGTACATATGGATACAACATATATTCATGTAGTTGAAATATCTATAAAGAGCAGGTGGGTCTTTACATCAGGACTCGGCTTTGACCATCTCTTTAAAACAAAATTTCTTTTTTTCCTGGGTACTTTATTTTTTAAAAATTGCTTTTAGAGGTTTTGGAAACAGTAAAAAAAGGGACACTTTTAAGTAGTATACATATTTTAGCTCAGCAGAGGTTTTTGATGAAGCTAAAAATTATAACTTTTAAAATTGCATTCTGAGTAGTTCAATATTTTAGGTAACTGTTTTTTTGGCAATCTGATCCCTCTTTATTTTTTACTTAAAGCACTTTTATTACTGATTTTACAATATTATCCATGCACTAATAAACCTATGCATTACCCAAATATTAATTATTATAAAATTTCATTGGCTTCAATAATATTATGAGGATCAAATTGTTTTGAAAATTTTTTTTTTTTATCAAATTGCTACAATAAAATTTTATTTTTAATTTTTAAATTGTCACATTTAAAAGTGTTTTAAGTATAAAAATGTTTTTATAAAATGTATCACTAAACACCTAAAATGCTTAGGGCAGGTTTAGGGTCAGTCTTGAGCCAAACAGATGATCCATGTCACAAATTATTTGCAAAAGGATGGAGGAAGATGCATAAAAACTTGTTAGAATGCAATGGGTAATAGTTGGGTCTTTGGATTATTTGAAATGCTTGAAGAAGAGGACTGGGTAGAATTAGAGCATGCGGGAACATTTTCAAATACCTAAAGTGAAAGAAATATAAGAAAGATGATAACTGAAGAAGTTACAAGGCCTGATATTCTCATCAAGGCTTTTAACTTTATAGTGTAGTTTGCTTAGGTGTGATGTTCGACAATGTGCACAATGTAAGAAAAAGAGAGATGGATATACAACAATTATCAACTCTACAGAGAGAAAAAGAAAATAAAAAAAGAAAAAGAAAGAAGGGATCTTATACAATTTTCTTTTATTTTTTAATTAAAAAAAGTCAGGGTAAAAAAAGAAAATAAAAGAATAATAATTTGTTAATTGAAGTGACTTAAGACATACCTTTTAGCCATGAATGCAGCGCGAGTGTAATGTCCCACATTGTCTCTAGGAGGAAATATTTTTTTGAGATTTGCCATATTGCCATGTTCATTACTTATTGTACCCATGTCGAGTGTCGATCCGTATCTGTGCTTCCTAGAGGACAGCATGAGAAAGTTTTGTATAATGGATTAGACGTCTATACTATATAAGGCACAAGTAAGAAATTGTTTCTTAAATCATGTTAAAGTTGTCATAAAGCGAAATGTTCAACAAAGTATTATCCGAAGGCAATGAGGGAAAGAAATTTGCTTATTATCTAATAGACAATATTGCCCTTATCATAAAAAAGGTTTATGTAACTAGTAGTTGGATGTATTGACATGTTTATTATAGTTGCATATATTGTTGCTATAATCATTATAGGTGCTATGTGTAGATAAAGTTTATGTTTCAAGGGCTTCTTAACTTGATTCAAAGGAAATTATTTTCATGCTCCTTGAATCTTTTGCATGATTTTTTTATTTTTATTTTTTGTAAATCTTTTGCTTGATTTGTAGAATAGGCTAAATTACAATAACCTCCCTTAGTTTTGATATAATTCCTTGGTCTTCTCTCTTCTTTGAAAAATGATACTAACTTCCCCGCTAGACCTAAATTTATTACATAATTCCCTCTCTGTTAATAGTTAAACATCAGTCAACAATGATTTTTATTAATATCAGCAATTTGAAAATTTTTAGAACTAATTTTACCATTGTAGAATTATTTTATTCAATTAAAAATTACAACTCGATTTTATGGGCAAAATAGCGAAACTAAATACTTCATTAAAGGAATTGGATGGAAGTGTCAGGTAAGAAGGTTAGCGTAACTTTTCAAACAAGAAGGGAGACTTCTTCAATTAGGATGCACACGGATCAAATTGGTTAGGATTAGACATAAAACCAAAATCAGTCTGATTTGATAGGAGCCTAAAACCAATCTGATCCAATCCGTTGAATATTGAATTGGTTTTACAGATTGGGTTTGTATTAACAACTCAATAGTTTTTTTGAACTTTTTTAGCCCAATGTGTGATTGAGATGAAATATTTCATTATAACTACATGTAAACAATCTTTATCTTTGTCCATCCTTTAGTTTTGATAGTCTTTAGATCAATTGAAATCCAGCAGGACCACCGTAACGATAGTATAATAGCATCTCTTACTTGTAAAACAAATCAAAGAAAATCAAGTTATTTATAACATTATGTGAAGAATTGTGTGTGAAGTTTGAAGACTGAAGAGTAAAAGGGGTGGGGTTTGATTTGGGGTTAAAAAGAGCATTATATGTGTATATGAAATATATATTATATAGATGACAGATCGGATTTCAGATTGGTTTTTTGAGACCCAAATTCGTGAACCGATCTGATCCCTACGAATTATTTGTTTATGAATCTGCACCAAACCAACGGACTAAAAAACCAATTTGATCCACATGGATCAATCGGATTCACAGATCAAATGAACACCCCCTTCCTTCAATGGAGAAATGTTAAAAGTACCATAAAATAAAACTAAGCAAATGACTGATAAAATCATAAATCTAACAAAATTATGCCACACGATTGAAAAAAATTATGCCAACAAAATAATATCATGTCAACAAAGATTATAAAATGTACCTTGCAGTAATCGCGATTCTTAAATGAAACATTTGTGTTTACGGATTTGCCTTGTTACAACTTTTATGTTATGGCTCAAGAAATAAACATGAAAAGTTCGATTTTCAATCAATTTGCGGATGTGAATCGATGTTTGTGGTTGATGTAAGAGTAAGCATAAGGGTTATAAACAACCTTTGAAGTTTGATAAGCAAATCATTAAAGGTAGTGTTTTTAGGTATGGTGGGGATAGGCATGCAAGAAGAAAGAAAAACAGTTTTGGGTGGAAGATCGAAAAATAAAGAAAACAGTAAAGAATGGAGAGAATAAAAATTGTATTGAAAATGAATCCGACCAAAAATAGTTAGATCTAGACGAAAAGGAAAATAATTTAGCACCAAAGTTTTATACTAATCTAACCTCTAATTTGCGCTCGCCATTCTCGATTTCTCCCGAAAACTCTATCTAGCCTCCACTATTTCTTGATGACTCCGTCTTATCTTATTTACGAATTTCTACTTTGACCTTGACTTTGCACTCACCATTCCTCTATCCAACCTTCACTATTTATTGATGACTCCATCTTATCTTATTCACAAAACTGGCCTTGCCCGTACAAGGAGGGGATCATTACTTTCCAGCGCATCAAAACAACGTCATTTTGATGTAAACGCAACACCTTACATTAAGACGAAAAGCCCATTACATTAAGACGCAACACGTGCCACATTCATGCTATGTTTTAACCATCTATTATTGTTTTTGTATCCCTCTCTCTCATGCTCATATAGCATTTTGCCTCGTTTAGTGAACGTTTCACTTTCACATGCACTAATATTTTTATATTTTTTCTCAAATAATTTTTTGAATCAATCCACGAGGCAAGTAAAATTTTAGCATCAAAGTGGAGCACATTTATTGTTAGTCTCGGGTCCTTGGATTACTTTTCAAATTTTTATTAAATACGTTGGATAAGCATCAAGTGTAGGGATAAGAGTTTCAGGTTATTGGATTATTTTTCAATTTTTTATTATTAAATGGTCTGTATAATTATCAAGTGGTGGTCCACTTGATGCTTATCCAGTGCATTTACTATTGGTCTCAGGTATTTGAATTACTTTTCAAATTTTTTTATTAAATATGCCGGATAAGCATCAAGTGGAGCGCATTTACTATTAGGCTCAGGTTTTTGTATTCTTTTGATTTTTTTTTAATTAAATGAGCTAGATAAGTATCAAGTGGAGCGCATTTACTCTTACACTCAGGTATTTGGATTACTTTTCAAATTTTTTTAACGGATTATTACATATAAATGGTGCTAATGGCCTAAATATACCATTTGATGGAGTTAAAGTTTCATAGTTTCGAAAAAATGGAGTTGACCAAAATGCTGACATGGACATGGAAAAACACTGTTCACTCTCAAAGGTACAACTTTTAGGCACATAGGTACCACTTTTTGTGTACACAGATATCACTTTTTGTGCACACAGGTACCACTTTTTGTGCATTAGGTACCATTTTTGTTTTGGGCATAGAGGTACTACTTTTTTGTGTAGCATAAAAAGTTGTACCTGCATGCATAAAAGGTGGTACCTATGTGACTAAATGTGGTATCTCTGTGAAGGTAAACAGTGTTTTTTCTTGTCTTCATTTTTTCGAAACTATGAGACTTTGACTCCATCAAATGGTAAATATGGGTCATTAGCACCATTTATATGTAATAATCCTTTTTTTAAAATATAAAGTTAGATTATCGTATAATGGTATTGAAATTAGTAAATATGGTAGGTACAATTGATCAGGAACGAAGCTAGATGGGGCGCACCTGGTGGGAAAAGGTACTCACTCTCTAAAGACTATCCCAACTTAGCTAGCTCGTGGGGTCACTAAAGTCAAAATTCGTTGTACATTTATGAAGAAATAACTTTGAAGATAACTTATCTACAAAGTTGGTGTGCTCAAGTAAATACCCTAGTCAATTTTAACATTTTCCTCTAAAGCTGCTTGGTTCATATATTTGGTTACTTTTTTTTTTTTTTAAATGTGCTAGATAAGCATCAAGGGGTGGTTGGAGGTGGATTACTTATAAAGTTAGATTATCATAGAATGGTCTAGAAATTAGACAAAAAAAAAAAAAAAAAAGGGAGATGAAGGGTTGTTTCTTAGACACATTTATGTAGGATCACATCATGGCATCGTCATCTTCTTCTTCTTCTTTTTTTTCTTTTTTTTTTTTTTTTGTCTCATTTGTAATAATTTTTTTCTGTATAGGGCTCGAACCTTCGACCATGAGATTGAGTGTTTAGACCCAAACCCACTAGGACAGAGGTAGACCGGTTAGTCTCATTTATTTCTGTCAACTAAGTTATTCACCATCTATAATTATTTTTAACCATTTTGCCTAAAGTTGCAGCATTTGTCCCACTAAGCTCACTGCTCAGGTACTTGAGTTACCAGTTTCTCTTAAATGTGCTAGATAAGCATCGTGATATGTGGAGCTGAATTACATAGAGAGTTAAGGGTGCACACAGAACAAATTAGACATAAAATTTAATCCAATCCTATATTAGTCTTAAACCGATCCGATCCAATCCGTGAAACATTGGATTGGCTTTACAGATTGGTCTTTTTATAAATGGTCCAATAATTTTTTCTTTTAGACTAATGTGAGATTGAGATAACATAATCCAAACATAGCCCTAGTTGATGGTTTGTAATGATCCATAAAAAATGTTGCCATGGCATGCTTTTTGGCTACTCAGATTGTTACTCTTCACTTATTGATCACATGACATTGTAGAAGCTTTTTTGTTCTGCAGTCATGCAAATAGTATTGTTGATGAAATTGCAACTACAATAGCAAATTGTACCCTTTTCAACTACATATAAAGGTAGCTAATAATGAACTAAAAAAAGGCAACAGATCAATGTCTAGTTTATATATTACAGGAGCAAGAAATCAATAGTAAAGAAAGAAATTAGATTAAGCTAGGTTTAGGGTTAAAAAGAGTGTCATATATATGTACTAGTTATATATATTATATAGGTTATGGATGAATTGAATTCACAGATCGGATTGGTTTTTTTGAGACCTAAATTCGTGAACTGATGTTATCCATGCAGATTACTTATTTATGAATCCACCATCGAACCAATTGACTAAAAACTAATTTAAAACGCACGTATCAGACTGAGTTGGATTGGATTCATGGATCAAATGAACACTCTTAATAGAGTTAGATTATCATAGAATGGTATAGAAATTAGACAAAAATGAAGTTAGTATGGGAGGCACAATGAGCATGAACAAATCTAGGTCTAGTCTATTAAGTGGGGAGAAGCTACCTCGTGGGTCAGTCAAATTCTTTTGTACATTTATGGTGAAATAACTTAAAAGATGATTTTCCTGCAAAACTATCATTAAAAGAGCATTTATTTTGAAACTGCCCTTGATTTTGTGAATCCCTTAAAATTATTTTTCAAAGAGTAATAATACACAAGTAAATCCACTTGAATTAAAATTCTTAAAAATGCCATCATCTGAGTTTTTTTGGGGTAAGTAAGATAATTCATAAATGTTAAAGTGTATACATATAGAAACTTGGCCCATTTGGGCAACAGATCAAAAACAAAAAAAAGCAAAAGGAAGCCAAGTGAAAACACCAAGGCATAGAAAATAGGCCCAAGCTAGAAGCCCAAATAGGCCATTGCGGGAGCATCAACATTCATACATTGAAAGTATCAGAGAGGGTTCTATAAGGCAGCTAAGAAAAGGAGAAAAAAGGGTTTGTCAAGTTTGGCTCAAAGGAGGGGGAAGGTCATTTGCTATAGTCATAAGAGCATTCACATTTCTTGATGTTGAATATCCGTAACCTCACCGAATCGATTGTCAAGTTCAGAATCTTCAATGGAACAGTTAATTTGTTCCTGAAGATGCGATTGTTTCCCTCCTTCCATATGTGATAGACAAAACTTGCTAAAGTGAGTTTCCATGTAAGAACCCTATTGTATTTCAATTTTTGTTTCCGATTTGATGAGGCCCAAATTAAGAAATCTTTCCATGAATTAGGGTTCGTATAGAACCCACACTTTTCTTGTAATCTTCCCCAAATCGCCTTTGAATACTCACATTGATGAAATAAGTGTTGATGGTTTTCTGCAGCCTTGAGACATAAGAAGCAAACATTTGGTTGCATGGTGAAGTGGAGGGATGGTTTGTCACCAGAGGCAAAATGATTTTTGTACCTGATCATTGAAGTTGCTACTTGGATTTGTCACTCAATCAAGCTACCGAAATCATTCAACAACCAGAATTAGCTGAAGTAAGAAGCGGATCGTGATTGCATTGCCGTGGATCATTGTAGGTGATAAGTTTGAAGGCACAGGAATCGAAGGCACGAGTAAAAGATAATCAAAGACAAGTAATTCTGAAACTCTTGATTCTAAGGCCTGAGTATTCTGGAATCTCTGCGAGTATTCTGCGTACTCACACTTGGTATAAGAGCAGGTTGCTCTAAATCCTGAGCAAGATTTCAGTACTTTTTTTTTTCAAAATTCTTTTGAAAAGTTATGTTATTGAAAAATTGTGGATTCTCCTAGAAAGGGTGGATGGATAGGTGTGGATAAAATTTTGTGCTTTGTGGAATGATTAAGAATTGACTTTGGCTAATGTTAATTCTAAAGCATGAAATGTTAATTTTTAACGTTGTGTCACCTTTTGAGTTTCATGCTTGATTATACATGACGGTACAATTGTTAAGGTCTCCGTATTACAAATGCTCACAAATAACTTTGAAATGATTAGAATGAAAAGAGTACAAAACTTTTGATAGTTCTATGCCAAGTTAAGTGACTTTGTCAATAGTGCACCTAAAAAATAAAAATAAAAAAAGTGACTTTGTTAATAGTGCTTGATAACCATTTTAAAGAGAAATCCTGAGAGTATGATTATTAGAAAAACCAAGGTCACTCTTGCCAAAGAGAGCAAGAATATTGATTCAATCAACATTGTTCTTTTAAAAAATTTCGAGTTGAATTTTCTTCAATTTGGGAAATCTTAAAATTTAGCTTTTAATATTTACTAAGGTTTGATGAAAACAAATCAAAAAGGAGGAGGAGGAGGAAACTGAATTAGTATGTTAAAGGTAAAGTTGACTTGTTACATCTATTCAGTATCAAATGATTCAAATTGCATAACCATTGTTTTACTTATCCAATTAAACAACTAAGTAGTACTACTTGCCAAAATTCAGTTAGTAAAAAGATCAGAAATGGGGTGTTCGAATCTTAGTAAGAGTATTGTTCTTTAGACCACTACCACTACCATTATCTATATCCATCAGTAATCATTGTATCAAAATATTTATCTAAACCCAATATAATAAACCAATTCGCAATGGACGATGATGATATGCATGCACATATATACCAAAATCATCAATCTCGTAACAATATTATTGCACGTATATACCAAAGTCATCAATCTCATAACAAATTATTCTCTCTCCCAACACACACTAGTTATGTACAGTTGCAACAAAGCCAAACTTTTAGTGTGGTTAAAGTGTGAAACAATTCAACAATTCATACTCAATTTAGAGGGATTAATTTAGGTTTTTAACAACATGGGTATGTTAATTTGATAGCCTTACATGTGTAGATTTCAACAATAAGGTATGAGACTCCTAATCATTTAAAATCCAACCTTTCAAAGCAACACCAAAATAGAATTACAAGCATCATTGCAAGAAAAATCTGTTCCAAGTACATTTGAATTCACTCTATTAATGAAATTCACAAAATCAGAATCACCCACAGTGAATGTCAATTAATGGTGCATGTGGTCTGATTGGTATAACTGATATTCATGTCATTTGTTCTATGAACATTAACAGTGCATGTGGTCTGTTTGGTAAGTGGCATTGAAGTCATTTGGTCTATGTATGGTTACTGTAATTAATCGGCTTCGTCCTTAACTTCTCAGCAGAGAATCTGAAACCATTGGAATCACCTGATCCAAACTTGGAATTAAAGAACTTGATGGGGCACATGTGATGGGTCTGTTTTGGCGAGCATGTGGCCGGTCTGTTTGATCAATTTCCCACCCCTCCCCCATTACTTAAGCTCAAGTGTTCTACGATTTTACAAGTGGGATCCTGTGAAATCTTACCTTTGTCCTTAGCGTCCTCCGAATAATATGGTACGCAGCCACAATGTGGCCTTACCTCCCCCTCATTATACTCTTCTTTTCCCTTGCTCTCATTGCCGCCATCCCCTGCCTCCGCCATCGCCGCCATCTTTCCCGTCGTGAAACCACCCAAAGGCCGGAGCAGTAGAACCCCAGCCACGGTGGTGTTTGGGAGGTGCAGCAGCAGATGGTGCACTCTGCCGCTGCACCTCCCAGTTTCAATGATGGCAAAGATGGTGGAAATGGCTGAGGCATAGGATGGCAGCGATGGGAACGAGGGGAAAGAATAGAGCGGAGAAGAGGATGATGACGGTGAGGTTAGACCCGCCACCAAGGACAAGTATATATGTGCGTCGCATTTTGCTGCTGGTGTTGGTAGTCTTGCTATTGTAATTGTGGACGATATTGGAGAAGGTCCATCCCTTTCTATTCAGATGACACCAAGGACAGGAAGGATTTCACAGGATCCAACTTATAATGTAAATAATTTTTGAAGAGTTCAAATAATTTTTTTATATTGTTTTTTCTGTTTAAGATTTACTTACAGAAATAAGGGTTTTACTATCCATTAATGAAATTCCATATTTTGGTTGTTGACGTAAATACCATGCAATTTTGATTGAGACCTGGGTCACGTTAAAAATTGCAATTCAATCATCGTAACAAAGAGAAGCCCGAAGAAACAAGAGAGAGGGCAAAAAAAACACAAATGATAAAAAAAAAAAAAAGAAAAGAAAAGAGAGGGTGAAAAAGTCAATTGCTACATTAATTTTCTTTCATTTTTATGGTTACATGAAGAATTAGAGAAAGATTAATCATAGTATATCTTTGCTATCTGGTTAGATTTTAAGGCTACATTTGTTTAGATGTAAAATAATTTTAAAAATATATTTTTTTATTTTTTGATATTTGGTTATTTTACAAAAAAATATATATATTAAAATTTAATAATATATATAATTTACTCATTAATTTTAGACAACTTATTTTACATATCTCCTTAATAAACTTGACATCAATTTCGATTTAGATCTTTATCAAATACAAAAAAATAAAATATACATATATATATTTTATCTTAAGAAAGAAAATATTTTACCGGAGTCTAAATCTGTAAAGCTGAATGAATGAATGTGAAATGATTTACTTTACTATTATAATTTTTTATTTTTTATTTGCATCTGACAAAACACAAGCACATCCACTTAAAAAAAACTGGCCGCTCTACACTCGATAATAATACCCCTATACTCTATGTTTATGTATTGATTATGTTTGTGTACTTGTTGCTTGGTAATTGGCCTTGACTAATGCAAATTCTAAAACATTGAAAAGTCTTGTTTTTATCCTGAATTAAGAAAAAAAATGTTGGCCGTTTATTCTTATACCCCGCACTCGTCAAAGTTACAAAAAAAAAATATATATATATATATATATATAACTTTAGCCCGTTTAATTGCCAACAAAGCTGCCCATAGTTTTCTAATTATTACAACTATTATTTACCCTTTTTATATATCTATATTATATAATATATTTTATAGCGGGAATATATATATATATAACTTTAGCCCGTTTAACTGCCAATAAAGCTGCCCATAGTTTTCTAATTATTACTACTATTATTTACCCTTTTTATATATCTATATTATATAATATATTTTATAGCGGGAATGCAGTTAAAAAAAAAAAAAAAAACTTGCCTCGGAATCACTTGCAGTCTCCCTTATGAATTTTTTTTATGTGAGTGGTGTCAACTATTTTTTTGTTTATTGATTATCTATACGGTGCATAAATCAAATATTTATTGTTTTACAAAATATATTTACCTTTTAGAGAAAAAGTAAGGGTCGAGAGTAATTTTACAAAAGATAACGCTTGAAAAGAAGTATTGTATATATTCAATTTTGGTGAATTTTTAGTTACCTATTGGTGAGGGGACTTTTTCTTTTTTAATTGTGATTTAACCAAATCATATTCAGGGAATTTTCGCAGTTTCTCTTTCGCGCTTCCTATCATTACTCTTATCTAAATTTATTAATGAAGAACATGGTGTAAATATATGATTGTGGGAGGTGTAAGAGAAGCAAAAAAATGGGTAATTTTTTTTTTTTTTTTTGAGGCGGCAGATTTTATTGGGTTATTTGCGAGATCTTTCCTGCACGCATTATTATTATTATTTTTAGCACGTGTACCGACTCCACAACACACTCACTATTCAAGTGAGAGTGTGGTTCGAAATCGAGACTTCAAGAACTTACCTCCTGGATTTCTACCAACACCGTTATGCCCCTAGGTACCACCCGTTATACTAAGTCATTCTAACTAATTATACTTTATCACATAAATAAAATTATTTTATTTTAGTGGGTGTCAGTAGGGGCGGAGTCAATTAAGGTTGGGATCATGAGCCCCTATCTGGCCCAACCATATTTATATGTATATAAAAGGTAATTTCTTTGATTTTTCTTATATATATATAAGAAAAATTTTATATAATGCCCTCTCTAAATTTTAAAATTTCTAAAATTATCTCTTAAATTTTTTATTTCTTTCTCTTTTACTCTTTACATTCTTTTATGCTATGTTTAGTGTGCAGGAATGGAATGAAATGTTCATTCCAACAATTCCTTTATTTGGTGTGCAGGAATGGAATGGAATGCCCATTCCATTGGTGGGAATGATCATTCCATTGAAATGAAATTCCATTCCACAACTAAACATATAGAATGGCCATTCCATTCCCAAGTAACTTATTAAAAAAAATCAACTTCTCAAAACACTATCATATTCCAATTCCAAAAACCACCATTACCTTCCACAAAAATCATCTCCGCATTTCACCACCACCACCACTACCACTGCCTTCCACCACCACCGACTTTCGCCATCGCCCATCACTTTCCACCACCGCCGCCGCCGCCACCGCCTTTCACCACTGCTACCGTCACCATTTGCGACAACCACCACCGCTACCTTTCACCATTGTTATCGCCACCACCTTCCACCACCACCACCACTGCCATTGCCTTTCACGACCTTTCACCATCATCGTCACCATCGCCTTTCACCACTGGTATCACCTTCCACCACCACCACTGCTACCATCTTTCACTACCACCACTGCCACAGCCCTACACTACCACCGCCACCTTCCACCACCGCCGTCGCCGCTGCCTTCCACAACCACCAACGCCGCCGTCATCACCTTCTACCACCTTCCATTATCGCCATCGCTACCACCTTTCACCACCACCACTGATACTGCCACCACTATCGCCGCTTTCTACCACCACCACCACCGTCACCACCTTCCACCACCACCACCACCGCCGCCATTTCCACTGCCTTCCACCATTATCATAGTCACACCACTATCTCTTTCCACCATAACCACCACACTACTGCCACCACCTTCCACCAACAGCACTGCCACCTTCCACCGTCACTGCTGCCACTAATTTCCACCATTGCCACCGCCGTCGCCTTCCAATACCACCACCTACACTACTACGGCTTTCCACCATCCACTACCGCCACTGCCACCATTTATTTTTAAAAAATTATTAGAGAATATCATTTTGTTATTTTAATTTAATTTATTTGTTACTAAGAGGGATATTTTAGAGAATTCAATTTATTTCGTTTTAAATTTTAGTTCAACCAAACACTAGAATGATTATTATCATTTCATTTCTATACATTTTATATTTACAACCAAACAATAGAATGAGAATGACCATTCCATTCCTACACACTAAACATAATATTAGTTATTTTGTAAAAAAAGTTAAATTTTTTTCTTTAATTAAAACCTATTTTTTATTTTTCTTCTTTATATATATATATATATATTTTTTTTTTTTTCTTAAAAATCTTTTTTTTCGCACCACAGTAAACTACGTTTTTTCGCCTCTTTCTTATTTTTTTTTTTATTTCTCTTTTTTTATCACATCACTATACAATAATTTGTTTTTCCTTCTTTGTCCCTTGATTCGAATAATTTATTTATCAAGTAGTAGTTTATTTTATTTTATTTTTTACATTGTGCCCTACTGCTATTGTAATTGTGGCTCTGACCCGGCAATTACATGTCATCAATATTTTAGAAGCGATAAAATATTTTACTGGAAGATAGTTTTTCCTATTTAAAATCAATTAAAATAGATTTTTAGTAACTTTTATTTTAAAACTAAATGACACATGGTTTCTTCTTCCTAACGAACAGAATTGTCTTCCCAAACAACGTGTCAATTGTGAAATGACATCCTTTTCCTCCTTCGCTTGCGATTTCAGGGCCAGATAAATCAGATCTGACCGGGTAGTTAATCTCCCCTGAGTTTTGCTCCTCCTCCTATATTCTCCGTCAAATTATCAGTTCAGAGATCATATAGTCGAGGTCAGTGTTTACATTTCATTCATTATTATAGCTCAAAGTTCGTTAACCTGTTATGTACTCAAATTTGATTCGAAAATTGCAATATCCGGTCTATTTTCAGTTTATTGGCTCGTAGTCAGTTGATTGGCTTGAGATGGGACTTTTTGATGGATTGCCTGTTTCTAAAGAGAAATCTGTGAGTATTCTTTCATTCAATTTCTGAAACTGATTATGGTTTTACAATTCGAATGCGTTCTTTTCAATTTTGATTGTCATATGTAATATCTTCCTTCGAGACTGTTAAAAGATGGAATTGGGGATTAGAAAAATAGTCGAGAAGGTTGCTCAAAAGTGCATTTTTAACTATTTCAACCCTTTTTGAATAAAAAGGGTTTTTCCATTTGGTTAGTCTCTTCTAAAAACTGTCTATGATTCAGAGTTCTACACATGTAACATCACTCTTTCAGGGGTTTAAATTTTGGATTCTACACTGGTCTGTAGCACATAGCATTATGAATATAGTATTAAGATGTCATTTGGGTTCAATAGATGAGGAACTATGCCTACTCTCTGCTCTCCCATTCCCATCACATGCTTACTTAAGTATTTTATTTGAATCTCCATAGCTATTATACACAAACGAAGAGAGTTTATTTAAGTCATCGTAATCCTCTTTGTAAAGTTTCTTAGAGAAGTTCATTGAACTTCCAATAGGCGACACTATTTACAAGAAAGAAAAATTGCCAATAGGAAACAGACATTGAAATCGATGAAATACACAATACATTCAATGCTTTTCCGGAAATCCATCCTTTACTACGCATAGAGAGTGGAGCGCTAATTGGTATCATTTGTATCCCTGTTCAAGGCAACCTTGAATATTACTTTTTAGTCACTCTCCTTGTTGGCCGACCTAAATCTCCTCCCCTCCCCCCCTTCCTCCAAAAAATATAAATCACAGCTTTCAGTTGTTGTTAGAGATAAGAATATTATTTTCTTTCCCTTATACACTTGTCCTCACTTGGGAAAATCACCTTCCACACCATTTCCTTTGGTCATTGCAAAAATCTTAGGCATAATTTTATGGTCTCTCATGAAAACTCATGGATTAAAGTTAATGGATGTTGATACCCATATTCTTTTTTTTTTTGATCAGTAAGACAATTGTATAAAAGCGCAATTGATACCCATATTCTGCAAATTACAGCATCCAAATTCCTTATAGGTTTGTGTTACAACCTTTTACATCTATATCATTTTTAATCACCTTCAACTACTTGAATGAAATGTCACGAAGCACAGCACCTCATAGGAGAACTTTACATCTGCAACAACCATCTTACACTCCTAGAAACCTGTCCAATGTTACACACTCGCTTTAGAACTTTTTCAAAAGAAATTTGATTTATTAAACAAGTCCAGAACAAGTCAAGCATGCAAGTGACACTTTTAAGGCACTGTATGATGCACCTTTTATGTGATATAATGATTGTTATGCTTCATCTTCCGAGTCATGCAATTGTTGATATAAATTTTGAATAGATCAATCATAAATAGATATACGTATTGTCATGTACATGCAAACATTTATGTACATTGTCGTGTCATCATGTGTCCTTGCTTTACTTTTTTTATAATTTGTAGTGGCTGCATTTCAGTATTCTGTCACGTCTATGCCCCCATTGTCTGTATTTGTTCTATATAGATGAAAAATACGGTCATTCCTTCTGGAATTGGAGTCGCCTCCCGATTTTCTTACCTTCCTAGGTGCATCTTTTACCTTAAACGGCCTTTCTTGTCAGTGCTTATGTGATGACTCAATTGTCCTTAAAAAGGGACTTAATTGTTCTAAAAACTTTAGAGGCAAGATTCTTGACATAGGAGCCTTGGTTTTGATAACCTCAATGTCCCCTCATCCGCCAGGAACTTTCCATCAACCTCCATTTTCTCTGTATGGATTTGATCTGAATAGAAAGGTTGTGTAAGGATTGGTGCTAGAACTCCACGAAGTAAGATTCTAGGGGTTAGTAGGCTATTTTTATTTTTTATTTTTCATAAATTTGACACTTGTAAATAGTAGATGGAAAAAAATTATTGCAATAAAGTCTTGAGGTACTTGTATTGAGAATACAACTACTACATGATTGAGGCCTTCAAATTCACGTAATCAGGGGATCTTTTAATAGAAGCTTCTACTACATGAATTATAGAAGCTTCCTGAGCTCAACCACCAGCTGTTAGCTTGATCAATATTTACCGGCATTCCAAAGGAATCACTGGACTTTGTATTACTGAGAGAGAGACACAGACACAGAGAGATTATATTTTTCTAACATGGACTCCACACAATATTGTTTGTTGTGCTCAAAGTAAAACAAGATAAGGAGAATCTTTTCTTGGCTGTGGCATTTTTTTTTTTTTTTTTGATGACCCTGGATTAGTAATCAATATCTTTTATAAAGTGTAAACTGTACTAATTTTTTATCCCTCACAAGTTGTTACCCGTATTTTTCTTTTCTTTTCTTTTTTATTTCTATTGCTTCTCATCTTCTCCATTGTGCTCTTTTGGTTTATGCAGTATTTAAGGGAAGAGCTTTCAAGAATAGACGAGAGCTGGGCTGCTGCACGTTTTGATTCCCTACCTCATGTTGTTCACATATTGACGTCAAAAGATCGTGATGGTGAAGTTCAATTCTTGAAGGAGCAGAGTGATGTTATTGAGGAAGTTGTGGATGAAGTAGTGCATGCCTATCATAGTGGCTTCAACAAAGCGATTCAAAATTATTCCCAGGTTTCCTGACAGTTCTCCCCTTTTTCTTCTCTTTCTGAAAGATATTGCATCTCTTTAGGGTATCACTCTCCAGTTTCACTCTTACAAGTATCTGAGGTGGAGAAAGAAATATTCTTGCATCCTCTCAATAAACTTATTCATTGTTATTCTGATTTTGATACATCGTTCTCTTATCACATGTCAAGTATGAAGTATTTAATCACAAGTTGATGGGTGTGTTGGTCAAGTGGTGTTGACATCCCATTATGAAGTGTAGAATCTTAGGAATTTTGATCTCAACTATGAATTTTGATTAGTTGACACAGGATCGCCAAATTGCTATTGTGTTGGATCCAGTTCCTGCTTATCTGCTGTGTTACAATTCTGTTAATTTACTATAAGTTCCTATTAAATTAGTTATACCGTCTTCTAAAATCACAAAACTATTCTTTTCATTTTTGGTGGCATTTGTTATATATTAGGTTTTTAGAGCAAAACAAGAAAATGTTTCATTTACTATAGTAACTTACAAATGCATTTCTTTTATCTTTTATTTATTTTTATTCCTCTAGTCAATCTCAAGGACTCTCCATCCTTTTGATGAAGTCCACATAAGGCACTATTGATCATTGGCACTACTTTATTGGGTCAAAAGTCAAAGTTCGAGTCATACTCATTCAAAAACACGGTTCTAAGACTCAGAAGCTTTTGGAACCCAGATTCATATTGCCAGGCATCAGGCACGTGAATCAAGGCAATTTAGCGAGGTTCCCGGTGAATCTTCTTTTGTTTAAAGGAAAGAGCATAAGAAATTATACTTTATGCTACTTTCCAAATTGTTTTCTTTTGCGCAGGGAAAATCTATACATTCTGACTTTGACCTTTTTTTCTCCCTTGATTATGATTTAAATATTTGTTTCATAAGGTTTGGTGGTTACCTGGGTTGCTAGGAAGGATAGATTGGTTGGTGCAAATCTTCCTGGTTTTTTTTCCTCCTCCTCTCAGGGATCTTCTTTACTAGAATTTTTTTAATTTTTGTGTAGGATTATGTAGTTGTCTTCCCACCATCTTTAGAGAATTAAACAACAATATTTGTTCGTTATATTATGGTATCTACGAACGGAACATACAGTTGATATTTTAAGAAATGACTGTACATATTTTTTTATGTGGAACATATACATCGATACTTAAGCAAGCACGCTGTTGAAGGATTTGTATATTTATGTTACACCCTCTTTAACAGCTTAAGCTTTTAGAGTAGATGATTGTTAATAGGCATTATGTCAGAAATCAGGGTGTTCCCATCTTTTGTGTTTGTTGGGTAACTGCACACCACCTGTCAACTCTCTCAATGAATCTGAGTGTTGGAATTTTTTTTTTTTTCCTAGTTGGTACTCACACACACGTCTCTTCTGAGACTTGAACCCCTGACCTCCCTTTGGGAGGTAAGAGGTTGATACCGCTAGGCCACTGGCCCATTGGTAGTGTTGGTATTTATGTGCACATAATCTCATTTAATACCATATTTCTATCTCATTAAACCTTTATTTTATTCTCTCTCTCTCTCCATTCAAGAAGGCAATAGTTGTCTTTTCATGTTGATTTATTACATTTTTTCCCTCCAGATTTTGCGGTTATTTAGCGAATCTGCTGAAAGCATTGCCGTCTTAAAGGTTGATTTGGCTGAGGCAAAGAAGCTTCTTGGTGCCCGTAACAAGCAGTTGCATCAGTTATGGTATCGGTCAGTTACATTGCGCAACATAATCTCCCTGTTAGATCAAATTGAGGGCATAGCAAAGGTCTGTTTGTTGTGTTCTAAATTGTAATCATCGATTTTTCACTCTGTTCAGTTCACCTCTTTCAATCTTCTCCTTTTTTTGTAAATAGATTTGGATTGCTGGTTGCTTCTGGTCGAATATGTAGGCTGATTGCTAATAGATTTACTTCTGTTGCTGTAAGTGTCAGCTAATGGAGACACTTGGCTTGAGAAGATCTGAAAAATGTTGCCACTAAAGCTTTAAATGTTTACTTGAATTGTTTCCTTTTTCATTAAGTTATATTAGGCACACTTTACTGACGTATACCTTAACCTTTTTGATCTAATGCCACCATTAAGCTGCTTATATATTTGTGTCCTGCAACTCCTATATGGCCCAAGGTTTATTGTTGCCTCTTTAAATATGGTTCAGGTTCCAGCTCGTATTGAGCAGCTTGTTGCTGAAAAGCAGTTTTATGCAGCAGTACAGTTATATGTTCAATCAACACTGATGCTTGAGAGGGAAGGCCTCCAAACGGTTGGTTTTTATTTTTTATTTTATATATGTATATATATATATATATTATATTTCCTTTTGTAGCCATCAGGCATTTGTATTATAGCTGGAACTGATCTATTTAGTGAAAATTTCTTGAATTCATCTTGCCTTCAAGCTTTAGATTTCCACAGATTCCTAATACGTAAATACAATATTTACAGGGATTGAAGCACAAGAGTATAGTGTCGTTTTTTTCCTTAGTTAGTGAAGTGTCATTTAGTATAAGAGTAATGTTACAATTATACCTTTTAAACAATAAACCTATTACATTTTTGCAAAATCTGATCAGATTTTCTTGACAATACAGATTACTGTGTCACTCTTTTGGTCTTGTATGATTTGTATCTGCTGGCTCATTTCTATCCTTTCCTTTCTGAACATGGATTTAGAGTCAAAGCATAAAAGCTACAAATATAAGATTTTCTGTTTTCCAAATGCTTAATGTTTGGCTCATGTTGACATTGATGTGTGAGGCACACCATTGACTAAAAAGGACAAATGTTTTGGTGTTATATTTGTATAAGTTACATCCTATTTGATGTCCTAGGTTGGTGCTCTTCAAGATGTCCGATCGGAATTGACAAAGTTGCGAGGAGTTCTTTTTTATAAAGTTTTGGAGGATTTGCATGCACATCTTTACAACAAGGGAGAATACAGGTATATCTTTTGTTATTTTTATTTATTTGTTTATGTTCTCTGTTTTCATTTTATTTATTTATTTTAACTTTTCTTTGTTTAGCATCCAAAATATTTGAAGTCCTCGTTTTTATCTATTATGAAGTCTTTTAGGTGGTGGAGAGGGGAGGTCAGTATTTGGTATTGCTTTCACGTTTACTTAAAAGCCATTCTCATTTAGGTTTATACCTGTGCTGTCTTGAATAGAGCGGCAATAAAGGAGAAGGCGCATATATAGATAGATATATCTGCACGTGTTTAATAAATACAACCCTTCTTTCTTATACACTTCATGTTCCTATTCTACAAATTCTATGAATTTTGAACAATGGATTTTGGCTATACAACGTGCCATTTTGTCTTGAGATGCTACATTCTGAAGCATATTACTAACAGTGTATTTGAATAAGTAGGAGGGAAAGGAAAGGAGAAGATAACATAAGTTACGAGAGAAAAAGGAAGGAAATGAGTGGATAGTGTTAACTTCTTGCCAGATTAAAGAGGAAAAAGAAAGAAAAGAATAGGGGTAATTCTTCGTCGTGTTTGGAAAAGATAGTGGTAGAAAATGAAGGAAATTATTGTTTTATTTTTTGAGTGTGAAGGGCAAAATAGAAATTCACTAAGGGAAAACGGGTGATCACTAGGTCTCTTATCACTTCCTTCCAAATTGTGTTACTTTTTGGGAGGGTAGCTAAGACACTTTTCAAAGGGGTTAGGCACCCCGTCCTTCTTCCTTCCCATTCCTATCCTTTCCCTCATCATGTGTTGAGTAAACACGAGATAAGCTCTCCCTCTTTGTCTCTTCTGTACCTCCAACTCCCTCAATCTGAAGTACCAAACGCAGTGTCTTACCTTATTTTATCCATTTTTGAAGTTTATGAAGAAAACCTGGGAAATATTTATTTTTATCTCTCTCTCTCTGTTTTTTTTTTTTTTGGTTTCCCTTTCTTTTCCTCCCTCCCTCTTGGATTGGAATCCATGGGTCTAATTCTGTTAGTTCAGTTTAGTACCGCTGTTAGGCTTTCCTATCATCAATGCAAGCTCATTTATTAAAAGTATTTCTTTCAGAATAATTTATTGTTGTTAATCTGATTGCTTTTTAACAGCTCAGCTCCCTCAAGTATGAATGAGAGGGATGATGAATTGCCCACAACCACAGCTGTTGCATTATCAATGAATAATTCACAATCGCTGTCTCGAAGAACCAGGCTACTTAAAGGTGACAACCAGTTTGGCGCTTCTGGTCTTGGAGATGGATCTTATAGGCCTAGTTCTGTTGATGGAGGGTAAGTCATGATCATTCTTCTTCTTTGTGATTCCAACTAAAATTTTTAGCTCTTCTTTAAGGCTTATTTTGGAGGTGGGAGGAGGGAAGGAGGAAAGAAGAAAGAAGTGGATGTAGAGAGATCCCATGATTTGGTAGGAATGACAGGGTCAATGGAAGTAAAGAGGAGGGGAAGTAAAATCTCTCATCCCAATCTCTTCATTTTCTTTTTACCCAAAAGTGGGCATAAATGTGGAAACAAATAACTTATTTACTTTTAAGCTTCAAATAACACCCTTGCAGTAGTATACATGTATAATGATCAGGTAAAGTAGCACTGTTCCTTTCCCTTCCTGCTCATTCAAGAAGGAAGAAAATACCCTTTGCCTTGGTGCACCTTTTCCATCCCTTTTACCTATCCTTCCTCTCAATTTTTCATCCCTCCCACCCGATGGAGCCAACTACTGGTGGGTATTTCTCTCAGCTTTTGACCCTTCCCTCTTCTATGCTATGAAGCATGGATATGGACAAGATATGATATGGATATGATGATAAGACAAATTCTTAAAAGATAGGATATGAATACGCAAGGGCACATCAATAAATATATTTTTATAAACGTAGATATGTATAAAAAACAATATATATGCATCCATGGATAAATTTAAATAATAATTGTTTATGTTGTATATATTGTCATTAACATTTCTTTATAAAATATTATGATTATCAAAGAAAGTAAGAGTTAAGTGGTATATTGCATGGACAAATTTTGGACTAAATCATGATATATATATATATATATATATCTCAATATTTCTTTTTTGATTTTTTCAAAACTTTTCTTAATAATTATTCTATGACATTATTGTTGAAAAGTTACATTTTAATGTTCAAAACTTGTTAAATGTGTGTTTTGGAGTATTTGAGAAGTCTCGGATACGTGGTCGATGTGTGTGAGAAGTATCTGATACGTGTTAGAAATAAATAATATATATATATATATATATATTCAAAAAATATGGATACGTTTAGGAAGTATCGGACACATATCCATGAGTATGCGAGGAGTATTGGTATCCGATATGGATACAATATGGGTATGTCACTGTAGAAGAATTCGTGCTTCTAAGTTTCTCTGCTTACGTTATTAATAGATTTGAAATATTCTTTGTTAGATAGGATTTATTGTCAATTTTATCTCCTTTTGATAATCTTACGATAGTTCATCCAACATTTATGCTATGAGTTAATTGTTGTGGCAATTGTTGTTATTATTGTTTGGTCTTATTTGTCTCAGCCTCAAGGGTAAAAAACATTCTTGGAGTTGGTGTATTCTTAAGATTAAGGATTGGTGCTACTCCAGTTTTAGAGACTAAGCGTTTGATAGAGTCCCAACAGATATACTTTGGGGGGCTTTACATACACACACACCACAAAAAAAGGGAGAAGAAGAAGAAAATCCTATACAACTAATAAAGTTTATCCAAAATAGGGTATATGGACACAAAAACTAGGGTCCATTTACATGTTTTAAGACAATTGAGCTCTTTATAAATGTAGGGTTGCACCAAGGCTCCATACTAAGCCAATATCTATTCACAATAATTTTAGATTAAATCACAAAAGACATACAAGGAGATATCCCATGGTGCATGTTGTTTGTTGATGATATAGTCTTATTGGATGCTTCTAAAGAAAACTTAGCAATAAAACTACAAATGTAGAGAAACACCTTAGGGTCAAAAAGATTGAAAATTAGTTGAGCTTAAAATAGAGTATATGGAATATAAATTTAATAAAAAATTTAAATTTTGATAATATAAAAGATCACACTTCAAAACAAAAGGTTTATTCAAAATAACCACTTCCCATATTTGGAGTAGGTGATATAACTAATAAAATTTGAGCAGGGTGGACAAAATGGAGACCGACTAGTGGCATGCTATGCGATAAATGAATAACAAATAAGTTTAAAGAAATATTTTATAGAACCGTCATTGGATATATAGAGCAGAGTGTTGGGCTTGAAAAAAGAAACAAGAACAACACATTTGTGTAGCATAAATTTTTTTTTTTTTTTGATAAATCATTTGTGTAGCATAAATGAGAATGTTAAGGTGGATAGTTGGAGTGACTAGAAGAGACAGGGTCACAATGGAAGTGTGAGAAAAATTAGGAGTTACAGCCGCTAGTGAGAAAATAAAAGAGATGAGACTTAGATGGTATGAACCATGGATACATACAACAAAGACTTATACATGCCCAGTAAGAAGAAGAAGAAGATTAGTTTCAATAGAAGGAAAAGATAGAGAGGATGAGCCAATTATCACGAGATGAAGCTATTAGAAATGATTTTAAAAGTTAAGTATAATAGGTGAGGTGGGGTGTAATAGAAAAAGAAAAAAACAAAGATAATTCATGTGGCCAACCTCATTCATATGAGATTAAGGCAAGTATGATGATGAAGATGAATTTAATCATGCCCACGCATAAAGTATACTAGAAGCTTCATTAAATTGCTTATTTGATAGACAATACTCTTTTATTTTATTTTTTCTTTTTCTTTTTCTTTTTCTTTTTTTAAACTTCTTACTCGAGTGTGCGTGTGACATTTTTATTTTTTCTTTTTTAACTTTATCCCTTAATATGCTTTTCAGTTCATCGTTTGATGGCCATGATGAGGAGGGTGCATTTGAATTACAAGATGATGCTACATCAGATGGTCATACAACATCAGTTACTCAGAAGGATGCGAAAATTGTTTCACGTCAAATTCCATCATGGCTTTCATATTCCACTCCGGATGAATTTGTTGTATGGTTACTGTTCATACTACTTGATCGCATCTGTCGACATTTTAATAGTTTTATCTTGTCTAATGGGCTGAATTTTGGATTTTGAAATTGGCTGTAGGAAACTTTGAGAAAGAGTGATGCTCCCCTTTATGTGAAGTATTTGCAGACCATGGTCGAGTGCCTCTGCATGCTTGGCAAAGTTGCAGCTGCTGGTGCCATAATATGGTATGTTATCAGTCCGATTCACTTCTTTTATTTTTATACGGAAGGACTTCTATTAGTGAGTTAAGACAGGCTTTTTATGTCTAGTTCCTGAAATAAGTTTGATGTTTAACCCTCCAAGCACCTCGAGCTTGCTTCCCTACTATTCACCCTCTCCAAGCTTCGAGCATGCTCCTCGTGGAAAACAACATGACCCAACTCACACCAAACAAGGCAAAAAGCAAATCCCATTCTTTCCTAGCCACTGCGCAATGCAAGAGGAGATGATTCACTGGCTCCTTGGCCCAATTGCACATGCAACACTAGTTGACGATCCTATACCGTCTTCTCCTCTAGTTATCAATTGTTGAAATCCTCACCGAGACTGCCGTCCATTCGAAAAAGTCACCTTTAACGGAGCTTTTGTGTGCCAAATGGCCTTCCAAGGGAAGGAAAGGCTCAGCACATTCAGCAATCTCCTATAGAATGAGTAGACCTCAACTCTCCTGTGAGTGGCAGTCATCCAATTCCACTCATCCTCCCCCTCTCCACCTATCTGTTGACTGTACAACAAAGCCAAGAACTGAACAAAGTACTCCACCTCCCAATCTTGAAGTTGCCTCGCAAACTGAATATACCAACTACCAAGCCAATCTACCGCTTTCAAGGCAATAGCTATGTGCCACTGTTCGAAGCAATCTAAAGAGACTCAGGAAAACACCCGCTAGCGGTCTCCCTCCACAGCACTCTGGTGTTGTCACCGCACCAAAGTCTAAAAATGTGCTAAGAATGTGAATGTGCAATGTGGCCAAGTTTTAAATTTATAAATGCCACTACTACCTCTAACTAAAAATATAGATAGGGTGAGTAGGGATCGTCCCAAGGGATTTTAGGCGTGTTTGCAATGGAAACAATATATAGGGTTAGTAGGTCGAGTGATCAAAAGATGGTTTGTTTGGTTAATTAAACTATAATGCAATTGAAATTAAAGCAAGTAAAAGGTAACAATTTAGAAAGTAGGGAAAAAGATATAGAGGAGAGGACTTGGGGTACTAGAGCTTACCACTAAGCTTGACTTCACTAGACACTAGCAATTGTATATTAATGGGGAAATTGAATTGTAACTTTTGTGTGTGTTTGTGACATTAATTAAAACTAGGCATGAATGGCAAATAAGTATAGATTGTCTAGCCAATTCAAATGGAAAGTACAACCTATCAAATGAGACCAAAATCCATTCAATGAAACCACAATTTATGCACACACAACTACCTAGAAACATACACCCTTTGCAGTCATAAGTATAAAACACCAAGGAACAAGAATAGATTGTCCACCTATTATGAATCTAAAGCAACTACACTACATCTACACTAAAGACATGGAAATTAAACTAAGTAAGCTAAAGGTGTGGCACAATCCATCAAGAAACTAGTGTGAACCATCAAATAAACTACAAGAGTGTTCAATTAAGCACTATGTTTTGATCATCACTAGATTAACTTCATCCATACACATAGACATGCATAAATTCCATTAAATCTAGAGAAAAGCACATGAATCATCCATTCTAGCATACATAGACATATGATTAGAAATAGATAATCAATTGAAAGCATTAATCCATACACATCAAGTAGAAACCACAAGATATATATATAAATCCAAGATCAAAACATTTATTACAAGTAAATCCCCAAAATATACAAAGCACTAAGTTTAGGAAGCCAACTTAGGGGCTACTCTAGCCCCAAGTAGATGTCTAGCCACTCATTGAAGTAGTCATCCAACCCTCAAAGGCTATCTTCATGGTAGGCATGACCTCCTTCTTGATGGAAACCCTAGAAGAATGGAAGAACTCCCAAAATGTGTAAAGCTCTCTCTAGTCTCTAGCCTCCTCTCCAAGATATGAGATATGAGATGTGTAAGTATGATGAATGTTGAATTTTTAATGGCTCCAAATCCTTATATAGGAGGCTCAAGTGTCACATCCAATGTTCTGGACTCGTGCACTAGGGCCCTTGCAATGATTACACCACGAGCCAACTTTTAATGAGCTGGAATTTGTTTTAATTCGGACTTGAGGAGGTTCGATCGATCTCACTAGGTGAGATTCATCGAATGCTGCAGAGATCGATCATCCTTGGCGGCGCCTTTTTAAATAAAGACAAATCTCTGAGATATTTTGGGAAAAAGACAAAAGTGGTAGGTGGGGGTGGCAGGTGAGGATAAGATCAAACAATTTCGATCGATCTGAGGTAAGTTGGATCGATCAAAGGTCGTGGAATCTTTTGGATAAGGACAAAGGCTTGGATCCATCCTGACATGTCTAGATCGATCACCTCCAGATCGATCGAAAAATTGTTGAGATCGATCGAATTTGCTATTTTTCCACACTTTGCTTCCACTTTGCTCCTTTCTTCCATTCAGCTTGAGATTGCTTCTTTTAAGCTCTTATTTGGTTGAATTAACTTATTTTTGGGATAAGCGCTTGAAAAATGCAATAACACGAAATTAGTCTAAGACGGGAAAATAAGATAGATAAAGCTCCTAGAATACCTAAACTTAAGGGGTTTAAATGCGCACTTTTCAGCGCTCATCACATTCATCCACCGAATATGCCTCCCACTCTTCGCTCTAAAACGAATGTGTTTGAAAATTCTTCCCACCCTTCCAGATGAACTTCCAATCCCCACCCCTGCCAGGAACCTCACCTCCAAAGAGCACCAACCACCAACCACCCATGCCTTCTCCAAATTTACAACTAATAACGCTCCTCCATAGTCTGTGCCTCTCAACCCCAAACCTCCATAACAACTTACCCAACAAAGCCTCCTTGAACATATCCAGACACCTAATCCCCAATCCCCCTAGCTGAATCGGCATGCAAACCTGCTCCCAATTGATAGGTAATACTTAAACTCCTCCCCCACACCACCCCAAATTTCCTTTGCAGCTTTTTAATTCTCTTTGCAACAGAAATCGACAGTGGGAACAGGGAGAAAATAGGTTGGAAGATTCGAAAGGTTATGCGTTCAAACCTCACCGTCGCCCTAGTAATTAAAATTGAAACACGTGTTTGATCAAAAAAAGGCCACACGTGAGGGGGCATGTTGAAGGATTTAAATATATAAGTTACACCCTTTTTAACAGCTTAAGCTTTTCGAGTAGATGGTTGTTAACAACAGCTTATGCTTTTAGAGTAGATGGTTGTTAGCAATAGTCTTCATTAAAGTACTCTGCACTCATTCCTGTCATAAAGCTTCGTTCTCTGCTTGCATTGGATCCTCGAATAACCTTAAAAAATGTGTTCAAATAATCTTATGCCTAATTTTCATACTGTCCCCATTCAGTATTGCCTCCAAAGAAGTGTTTATACAAAAAAAAAAGGATAGTTTGAGGGACACATATGGACCTTTCAAATACCATTATAGGGAAATTTGATCTAGTCACCTCCACATAGCACTTTATAGAAAGATCTAACAGATACTTGGCATGGATTCACCTCATTGGATATCCCCTCACCTTGCACACAGAGATAGAAATGGTTCCCAAACCACATCACTCTTGGTAAATCTAACGTATTTTGATACCAGGAATCCTCTATAGAAAAGGTACAACGGTGATGATCTCAGAAGTGCATCTCCACATTAGAAATTTTGCCATTAACTTATTGAACCCATGAGTCTGATTATCTCCTCATTTCTCCAGCAGGACCTTCCTCCATGGACTCTCAAGTTCCACTCTATAACTCCACAACCATTTGCGTAGCAGAGCCATATTACCTTTTGAGCATCCTTACACCAAGTTCTCCTGATTGCATTGGAGAGCACACTGTATTCCAATAAAAAAATTATAGCTTTGATTCTCCTTGCAAGGGATACCCTTGCTTTTGCCTTGTACTATAATGTTTCATATTTATAAAAAAATTCCACTTTACCAAGGAAAAAAAAATTTATATTTGAAATCATTCCATAACCACTCTATAAAAAGCTGAAACTTTTCAACCTTTTCGCTATTAAGGCTGAGGTGGTGAAGATAGACATGAAGTAGTGACCTTGAGAGGGTATTCTTGATAGGTTTCATCTTCCGTCCTTAGATTGATATTCTTTTTGTCAGTCTCCTCTTAAGATTTTCATAGTTGGCTTTAAACTGAAATATCCTTCAAATGAAGCACCCAATAACGGCTTCAAATATGTGCCCTTTATTATCTGCCAGGTCAAAAGCGTTCCCTATAAACCCCACAGGGATAGTCTCATTCTTGATCAAGTTGATATAGTCATGCCTACCACTTTTTAAAAGCATATAAGAATACATGTGATATAAACTCAATTGAGTCTTTCTTCCCTGTAAAGAGATATGTTGTCATCATCATTTAAGAAATGAGAAACAACAATGGCGTCCATCTTACATTACCAAGCTTAAACCCTTTAAGATAACCCTCACCAATATCCTGCTGATAATTCAAACCTCCATCATATCAAAAAAAGAATCCATGTCTCAAACCCAGGAACAGCATTGATCATGGACTGTTGGTGTTATTCCTTGATCTATTTCCTCTTTACAATAAAAATTCCATACAATCTTTAATGTGCAGAAGAAAGCCGTGGTGAACATGATCATGTGTTTTCTCCATGTCAAGCGTGCAAATGAGTCCTCTTTCCCACTGTCAATTGTCATATCTGCACATTAATTTGCTAGGTGTTGCGTTCAAATTTTGATGACCCTATCAAGCTGCTTGTCACATTCTTCATTCTATGGGCCAGTTTTGGCCACCAGCTTGTATGCTCGCCCACCAAGTTGATAGGCATGAAATTCTTCCTATTTGTTGCTCTCTATATGTAGTTTTTACTGGATATGAATTGAATAGTTTTTACTGCGATTTCATGAGTTTGTATCCGGTTTGTATGTCAAGATGATCTTTCCTTCCTCGATTTTGTTTTAAAACAGCCAAAGATTGCGACCCACGGTTCATGAGGTTATCACTACCAAGATTAAAGCTCACGCAGAACATGTCAATTGCTCAAGATCTGGCATTGGTCAGGCTGCCCGAAGTGCTATGACAGGTCTGCATTATTCAAAGGGACATCTGAATAGCTACCAATTGTCAAAGCAGAAGCGTCAGAACGGAATGTCGCTTGCTGGTACACTAGTAGCTGTTAGCCCTGTCTCACCTGTGATGGCTCCCATGGGAACAGCGCAGGCTGCAGCAAAGGAGCTGCTTGGTTCAATTTTGGACATTATTGTTCGAATATTTGGTGAGAAATCATTCTAAGTTTACAGTGTTTCTTTTTTTCTTCTTATGTTGAATATAAATTTGATTCCTGTACTTGTTCAGAGAACCATGTTATTGTTGGAGAGCTTCTGGAAACAAAATCCTCTCAGCAACTTGACATGAACACACCAAAGTCGATGGCGGCAGAGATAAATTGGAACCCTGAAACTGAAGCATCTCGTGACACTGGAGGCTACAGTGTTGGTTTTTCCCTTACGGTTTTACAGGTAGTCTTTTTACTGTTGTACTTGTCATATGTACTCTTATGCTAATCCAATGTCCAATTGCTAAATTTACATCTACTGAATATAACAGTTTTGGAAGTGTAAATACTAGTCCAATGTCTTATTGTTCATTTATTTTTTTCCCATTAATTGCCTATAATGCTGTACTTACCAAAAAAAAAAATGTCTCTAATAGAGTGAATGCCAACAACTTATATGTGAAGTTCTGCGAGCAACTCCTGAAGCTGCGTCTGCAGATGCTGCTGTGCAAACAGCTAGACTTGCAAGCAAGGTCCCTTCAAAAGAAAAGAGGCAAGTAACTAAAAGTTCATTTTTTATTTGATTTTCTTGCATCTATATATATATATTTATTTATTTATTTTTTTGGGCCCATAATTTTGTTTTGTTTTTCTGTTCATGAGCTTGTCGTTCTTTCTTGTCTCCTTGAAAAATTCTTCGTTGCCAGAAAAAGGAAATTGTGCAGATACCCTAAAGTCACGGTTCCAATATGTAGTTTAGCTTGGTGGTCATGCTGGCAAGGTGCTAGTGTGTTGATGGTTGTGAGATGGTTTTAAATTTATGAATTATGGTGGATGCAGTAGATATGCTTGTGACTAGCTGGATGAGGTGATTATAGGATAATTACGGGATAAATTAGGTGTTGGTGATGAGTTACCACGGATGGTGGGAGGTAAAGGCTTTGATGTTGTGATAGTTATATGCATCGCAGTTGGAAATGAGTGTCAGAGATGGTGCAAGCGGTAGTAGTGACAAGGTATTAATAATGACACTGATGATCACCAAAGATTGTGGGAGACGGTGGTAGGGTAATGTCAAAGTTTCTTTGGGTTGTTGATAAGGTAATACAGATGGTGTGGGTTGAAGGCACGTGGTAGTTATACATCACCTGAAGAGAGTTGATAGTTGTGCAGTGAGCAGCCACAGTGGCATTTTCTTTTAGTATGCGTTTCTTTTCTCATTTCACCTTTGTTGGCTGGGTACGCCAAGAGTTGGAAGCTGCAGTTGTGGAGATGGTTGCTACAGTTACAGCAAACAGCTGTGGTGCTTAATGGTGCCAACTGCCAAACTGAGGACATGGTGGCGAATGGTGCCCAGGGTTATGTCGGTGTAGTTCGCTATGACAATCATGTTTTGTAGGGTTTTCAAACAGTAAGACATGATAATATATTTGGACCTCTCTCTTTAAGAAAGTTCTTTTGTATAACCTGAATCCAGGTCTTGGATTCAGTGTAAAATAAATTTCATTTTTACATGGAGGATTGCAACTTACAATTAAACACATGATTTATCACTAAGGGCTCCAAATCCAACCCCTAATACAATTTTACATGGCAGTAGTGGAATTCTCTCTGATATCAATGTTATCATTTGAGGTTCTATGGATTAGTTTGAAGAGTAAATAGGTTTACCTTATTCTGGAAGTTCCTTTATTATACGAGAAAGTTCTATACAGATTTTGTCAAGTGACAGATTGCTTAAGCCCAGTATTATTGCACTATATCTGAAGACTATAAAAAGTAGAAAAATTGCTTGAGTCACTGTTTTTCCAAGTGAAAGTAAGAAAAAATGTTGGAGTTTCCTTCAGAAAGTAATTTAAATACAGAATAAGGGAATGCTTGCAGAAAGTACTTGCACTATCTCTGAATTCTAAAAAATAGAGAAATTGCTTGAGTCACCTTATTTTGACTGAAAGGAAGGACAACCATTGGAGAAGTGAATTGATGAGGAGTAAAGTCTATTGATGAAATGGACAGACAGTCCGAGAGTTAGATGCCAGTCTGTTTCAAGAGGTAACTAGGGGTTCTAGGGTGTGGGAACTGTTAACCTAGTTGTGACTTCTTTTTGATATGGTGGATTGTTATCTATTGAATTAGGTCCCGTGGTTTTTCCTGTTTAGGGTTTTCATGTAAAAATTGGGCGTTTCTGCTCTGAATTTACTTTTTATAGATGCATGGTTATATATGTGATGGTCGACTGCAAAAGCTATCGCGTACAAACTAAAATTAAAATCACAATCAGCTTAACTACCCAAAAACAATTTAAATTTTTTTTAAAAAATAGAATTAAAATTAATATCGGTAAGACTTTTCACACTCTAACATATCAGAGCCTTGGCTTTCCGTCCCTACAATTTAGCAAGTTGTTTTACCATAATACATATTATTATTATAGTTGAAATAGATTTAGGTCCAAATATTGTATGTGCAACTTTTTAATAGAAAATCAGTGCCCAATATTTGATGTGCCTCTAATGATAGCATATTGTAATAGAAGTCTTTATTAAAACAAATTACTAATATTGAAAAGGAAGTATGAGTTTCATTGATTGGAATATATGTGTGATTTGCAAAATTGGTTTTTTTTTATATATGTTCCTTCTTTTTAACAGAATTAAAAACGTCCACATGTATTCTTACTTGGAAATCAATGTTAGACAATATACAAGCTTCGGTTCCCTAAAAAATCTTGCTGTCTCTTCCATGATAGATTTCATGTCTCTGCCCCTTCTTCTAAAATGACATTTATCATTGTGTTTACTGTATTTAACAGCCTTCTGTTAGACATTGTTGTAACTTTACATTTGTATTCCCTTTTTGCATATAATTGCTGTACAATTATTGCTTATGGGTTTCAGGGATGGGTCAGAAGATGGTCTTACCTTCGCTTTTCGTTTCACAGATGCTACTATATCCATTCCTAACCAAGGTATGCCAAACACTTTACTCTTTCATGCTTGCTTAACCTGTTTCAGTTCTCTAAATAAAAAATGATTTTTATCATTATTTTAATGAATTAATCATTCTCTACTATACCCTTGAATTACAATTTGAACTTTGACTATTTTACACCAGTGACAGACTTCATGGCCATGCAGTTTTGACATTATTGTCGTAAAACACCCTATCATTATTCTAAGTCTTCAGTTATAATTTGGTATATGGATTATTGACTATATAGAAGTAGAAGCTTTAATGCCATTGTTGCCTGAGTGGACTAAGCATGGTAGCTTAAAGCCTGAATTTAATCTATCAAGAAGTAATTGTAACCTCCTGATTTAAATTTATAGAGCAAGTCAATGAACTTTTTCCGCATATATTGGAGGCCTTTTAAGTTGCTAACTTTCCAAGAGGGGACACAGTGATGTTTGGAAACATGTTAAGCACTTGAAAGAAGCTGTTTTGGTAAAAATGGTCATGAAGGGAATCCTTACCTATTTCCTGAGCACAATAGTTAGTTTTATGAGTTTGTCAATGATATCCAAATTCCATAAATGTCAGCATGCTTGGCACAATTATGAGTGTTGAAATTGATTGTGATTGTCTTGCTGTTTTAGAAGAAACACTTGGTGCTTACTCAGCTTTTTTTCTCCTTAAGTTGTGGGAAGATGAGAGAAAGATAAGTACATAAACTCTATATGTTGCATCTATCGTAATGGGGCTGCTATCCACATCAATATATATGCTTTTTCTTTTCTTTTCTTTTTTTCTTCCCTTCTTTGCTTTATTTTGACTCTTCATTTGTTTTTCTTTTGGCAAATTGGCTTTTAACAGTCTACTTGTGATTAACTTTTATGGTGGTGTGCATAATTGTTATTCAGGGGCTGATCTCATTCGCCAAGGATGGAGTCGGAGAGGACAAAATGTCCTCCAAGAAGGTTATGGGTCTATGGCTGTCTTACCTGAACAAGGCATATATCTAGCAGCATCTATATACCGACCAGTTCTTCAGGTTTTTTTTTTAATGGTAGCCTTTGGATACAAACAGCAGTCGTTGGCCTTATCTGACATTCTTTTGTCTGCAGTTCACAGATAAGGTTGCTTCAATGCTGCCTCAGAAGTATTCTCAGCTTGGGTAAGCTTTGAGCTGATTACACGTTTTTTTTTGTATTCCATGATGCATGTTGATGCTCAGTTTCACTTCTCAGTTCTCATGGACATTATGAGAATCCTTGGAAGTGAAAAACCTTACGACTCTTCACATTTTTCACTTGCACATTACAGACTGAAATTGAGAATTCACCGGGGTTTACTGAAACTTTTGGAGAATAATGCTTTGTATCCTATCATTATCTTTCTGTATTGGTCGAATTCCTAGTAACTTGTTTGGCTTTGATGGATCACTTAATTTTAACAGAACATGATTATCAGCTTTCAACGATTAACATTATTGCTACATTAATACTTAAGCATGTAGAAGCTGTAAGGTTTGAATTGTACTTGAAATACATCTGGAGTGGTTATGATGGGCAGAAACCTTATTTGAGGGTGCTGAAGCACTCTACTTTGAGTTCATTATTTTTTGGGGTGAATGGGTGATTATGTACATCTGTAGTTGATGTTGTTGATTTTTTGGATAGTGTGAGTATGTGATATGTATAGTGTTTTTGTTCAGTTTGTTCCTCGGGTGTGCTCCCCTTTGAGCTCCTTTAATAGAATGTTACTTATCAAAAAAAAAAAAAAAAAAAAAATTGGAATAAGAATTTGCAGTAGGGGGGGAATAAAAGCAGTTTGACTTGATGATAGTCTAGTGGTTGTAACTATTTGTTTTCTTATAAAAGATAATTAACTGATTTGAGTGTTGGTGCTGAGAAATTACTGTAAATGAAGCTAAAGGTTTTCAAGGTAGAATTTTCTTCCAACTTTTTTTTTTTTCCTAAATAATTTTCTTCCCAATTTAATATCAGTAGTGTTATAAGAATTTACTTGATACACAATTGAATTACTTAGTTGAAAAGCATCCACTATTTTTTAATAATCTATCTTAAAATGAAAAAAACATTACCTAACTTAATGTAGCTGGTAATGATCTTGAGCGACCTACCCAGCAGAACAACTCAAAAGATAAAGGAGTATTGTGAATTTCTTCATGCTCGTTCCAACTTCAAGTAGTTGGTCAGACTGAAGAGTTATTGTTAAGCTTGAAAGATGCACATAATTAAGTATAATCAGTCTGTCTGCCTGATGAGTTTTCTTGAACTTGTGATTCTTGAAGATTGTGGATGGGCTAGAATAGAGTTTTATTCAGTTGTTTTAGTGTGGCGACACACTGATATACGGTTATTATGACACTTAGAAGGATCATGGTAACGTATTTGGAGAGTGAGACATTGAAACCGTTGTCAATGTAAGAAGATTGGTGGCCAACTGAGGGACGGCTGGGTTTTTTAAGTTCTTGTATTTCACTTGATGTGTGTCCAAATCAAACCCTTAGGTTTAAGGTAAAAGTAGATGTGTGTGGGTCATCCTGGTCATTTACTTAAAACTTGTATTTTGTTTTGAGTTTTAACCTTTTCAAAGGTTTCAAGATATATGGTAGTTTTTGAAAACCTTTACATATATACTTTTAGAGTTCTTTTGGAAGGATTACTGCAGTTCAAGATGAAGGGAAATACTAACTGTTAATCGGACTGCTTGGTTTAATGTAAAGCAATTGAAGCACAATAATATAAAACGATTCGTTGTATGGAGACTGATATAAAACAATTGAAGCACACTGCTAGGACTAGGGACTTCTAACCCTAGCCCTAGCCCAGATGTGGTGGAGACTATAAGCTTTTTTTTTTTTTTTTTTTTCCTTGGCAAAAAAGCCACACACCCATTTTTTTTTTTCAGAAAGTCCACACACCCATTTTCCCATATGGGGACTTGAACCCTCACCTCTCACTTTGAGAGGTAGAGGAGATACCATTAGGCTACAACGCCCTTGGTAAGACTATAAGCTTTTTCCTGCGTGAACTCTGGTTTGTAGTGCATTTATTTTTGCATTGCCATGGATCTCTCTCTCTCTCTCTTCTGGATTGAGTTGTTCTGTTATAATCTTGCTACGTGATATTCAAAGGGTAGTGCAATGTTAGTGCCACCACACCTATCTCTCATATGTTCCCACCACAAACACATACCCGGCAAAGAGTCTCATGCATGTTATGTTCAAGCACCAAGCCAAGAGGGTTCCACCATGGGGAGGTAGCATTAGCTGCATGCAAGAGCAACTAAATTCTCTCAAATTTTGGTCCTTTCTGAACATATAACTAGTGGAAAACATTTGTTAATATGATATTCATAAAAAAAGCAAGGTCAGCTTTGTTATCTGGTTATAGCTTGTTTCACTTTCTGGGATAAACGATGGGCAATATAGATAAGTTCGTCAGAAACTCATGATGGGGGTTTCCAAAAACGATGAACATAAAGGTCATAACATGGGCTTGAAAAACTTGCTTCACACAATCTTGTAGTTTGGTAGATGTATTTGTTTGGGGTTGAGTGGAGATTCATATTGTGGATTTGCAGTAATGTATGATTTCATTCAATTTGAAGGCACTAAAAGGACAAGAGGAGTTCTAAAGGGGACATCAGTCAATCTAGTGAGGAAAGATGATAACCTAAGATTTAGAAGAAGATGTAGCTCTATATGGGCTCGAAGGATAAAAGGGTGTTTTGCTGCTGATGGCAAGTAGATGTGAATGCTTCTTGGTCGTTTGCCCTTGGTGAGCCCCTTGTACTGGCCATATATTGAGATGTTAAAGGGCTTAATATCCATACTGCATGTGTCTGCTGGTTTGCATTTTGCCAATTGCCAACAACATGATGAGTTTGAACCAACTTGAGCATGGGGGAACTTGGTCCTGCAGCTTGTTGACAAACACTGCATTTTGATTGTGCATTTGTAACCTTGCTTCTACATGGGTTGCAGCGGAAGCAGTTTGTGCTTTAAGTTAAATGATGAACTACTCGTTTGTGTGATGTAACATGCTTATGGATCCTACCAAAGTTCTGTCCATTTCACCGATACGCAGGCCATACCTTTCTTCCAATTACTGCTGGCAACCCCGAGTACTGTTTTTGCATTCATTGTTGTGACATCATATGCTTTTGGACACTACCAAACCTTGCATGGATTATTCCTAGCTAATGTTTATTAGGGATATAAATATCCTTTGCTGTGCATTAAGAATCCATTATAGATAATTTCTAGAAAATTTATTGCTTGTAGGTAAAATGAATTTACTCCGCAAAATTTGCTTTTTAGTGTCAGCTTAATGTCCAAATATTAAATTGTTCATAAAGGTGTGACGTTATATCTTTGGGCCTAGATATGCTCACTCTTATTGCTCCTTGTTTCAAGCTGATTATATTGTTGTTCTCATGATCTCTTCACTTTGCCAGGCATCTAATAGATATATTAGTACCTCCCACTCCCTCCACCTTCTCGTTACCATTGTTCTGCACAAGTCTCTTAGATATACCATTCTGAATTTCTGATCCAAGTGAATATTTGGAGCATGGGTGTTGCTTTTCCTCCTTTTCTATCATTGTGTTTCTATTTATGTGGTTTTGTGTTTTTGCACTTCTAAATACCACAGGAATGACGGATTGCTAGCATTTGTGGAGAACTTCGTGAAGGACCACTTCTTACCAACAATGTTTGTAGATTACAGAAAAAGCGTGCAGCAAGCCATATCAAGCAAGTTCTTTGAACTATTAAAACTTCAATCAGTTCACAGCAAATGTTTGGGAATTTATTTTTGTTGATCTAGTATGCCATCTACTTGCTAAAAGTGTACTGTCCATCAAATGATTCAAATTATTTTTCTTTCAGAAATGGATTTATGGGTATTGGTAATGGGTCAGTTTTCCAGGATTTTTTTTAAATGGGTGTCATGTGATCAATTGCAGATGACCTCTAAGAACCAAAACATGTTTATATGTTATGCACACTGATTTTATATCAGTGAATGGAAAAGAAAATTAGAGCTTCAATGTCATTTTGGCTATTATTCATAGGTTCTTGTCCCACGTTGGATAGGGATGGGATGGGCCTTGAGATTAGAGGCTGCATCTAGACCTGTCAATGGATCGGATTTTGATCCGAATCTGATTCGATAACTTGGATATGGATTGACCATCTGACTCTAATAACCCTTTAATGATCCGAATCCAATAATCCGTTAAGTAAACAAATCGGATATGGATTATGGTCAATCCGATCCGATAATAATTTGATCCAACATAATATATAATTTTAAACATATATTTATCTAATGGTATAATATATATAGTATTTACATATTATCAAAATGTCTTATAATCCTTCTTCCTCTTCCCTCTCCCTATTTTCTCTTATAATTGTTTTTTCTTTGACAAAGAGTAAAGATCTAATTTTATTCTCTTTTTTTCTTTCATATTTTATTTGTCTTCTGTTTTCTCTCCATTATATTCTGATCATTGTTTGCCCTTCTCTTTTAACATTAATTTCTTTTTTTAAAAGTGAAAAAAGCTACACCCTTGACGGATCGAATTATCGGATATGGATTCATTCATGAATTATTCATCGGAATTGGATCGGATTCGGTCTGAATCCGATCCTTTTACACGTTTGGCACCATCACCTAATAACTTGAGCTTTTAGGTCAGATGGCAAGCGTCCAACCCATTGCCAAGTGCCCACATGGAGGTGTCCAGGTCATTACTGGGTCCTCCGCTGTTAGGGTGGACAAGTAGGCAGGATGGTCCTACCGCAACGAGAGCATCTCAGGTTCAGGTGGGGAGAATGTCACAGATTCTTGTCCCACATCGGATAGGGATGGGATGGGTCTTGGCTTATAAGGGCAGATAGGCAGTACCATTTAACAACTTAAGCTTTGGGGTTGGATGACAAGTGCCCGATTGTTACAAGACCTTTTCTATAGGAAATAATGAGTTGAGAACAATACAACATATGACCGTTTAGAAAAAACAAAAACAAAAACAAAAAAACAATGCAACATATGCGTACATCTTTTCCTGGCATTTGCAAGCTTAGGAAAAGAGAATATAAAAAAATAATTTAACACCTAAAACAAATTGACACAATTTTAACTTTATGCGATTAAGAAATTATCTGACTTCCTTGAGGGGTTAACTCTTATCACTAGGAATTGTTTGCATGATAGAATTTTGGGTTGTCTTTAGCTCTGTCATTGTTTCCACCATATAATATCTGATTTACACGAGTTATTAATTATTACAGGTCCAGCTGCATTTCGGCCCCGAGCACATGCGGCTGCTAGTTATACACCATTAGTGGAGAAGGGGCGACCTGTCTTACAGGGACTTTTGGCTATAGATTTCTTAGCAAAAGAGGTATTTTTTCAACTCTTTTTTACAAAATTCTTTTATTACTGAACAAAAAAAGAGGGGTGTTTTAACTTTTGTGTCTCTTCAAAACAAAAAAGGGTCTGGTCCTATGCAGTGCAGAAATAACAATATTTGATTTACCTGATTTGCATGGGGAAGCCTTTGCAGTATTATTGTTATTTGATAAACTGTTTCCCATCTCTTAGTTATACTTTTTACATGGCATTTTGAATTTGTGTAAGTTAGACATCTTTTACTCTAGGTGCTTGGTTGGGCTCAAGCAATGCCTAAATTTGCTAGTGACCTTGTGACGTATGTGCAAACTTTCCTCGAAAGAACATATGAAAGATGTCGGACTTCATACATGGAGGTACATATATTTCTCTAATTCCTTATATATTCAGTTTGAGTATCATTTATAGTGTTTTGTTGAGAGTCATATTCTTGAATCTTGACTAACTCTAGTTGAACTTAAATATGTAACTGATGTAGTATAATGCAGAAGAATTACGAAGTTGTGTCTTCAAACTGAAATATGATGAAAAAGTCTTACCTAGGCCTTGCTATTTACTTATTTTTGTATATTAGATTTTTTTAAAAGAAAGAATATTCCAAGACAATACAACACGGAGAATACAAACCAGTTAGGTCATATGTTGTATTTTTGCGAGGGACTTAGTGCAAGCATATTCTTACCATTCATTTCTCTTTTTCTTCCCTGGTAATATAGGCAGTTCTTGAGAAGCAGAGTTATATGCTTATTGGGAGGCATGATGTTGAGAATTTAATGCGACTTGATCCAGCCAGTGCATGTTTACCAAATTCTTTTGGTCAGCCAAATATGGAAACCGGTGCTTCTGATGCTGAAAATATTGAGGTCGAAATGGAAATGAGTGACTTATTATTGAATTTGCAGCCGATCAAGCAGGTATTGCATAGGTTGGGAATCTACTTTATATATGTGTGTGTGTGTGTAGTTCTACAGGTATGCATGTGTTGGGAATTTATGTATGCACTGTTTGCTGATTAAAGGATCTTTCGTGGTAATAGAGATATCAAAATTAAACGTTGTTTATTGTGGCTCTTGTGCAGGAGAATCTAATTCGTGATGATAATAAACTTATTTTGTTGGCTTCACTAAGTGATTCATTGGAGTATGTTGCACACTCAATAGAAAGGCAAGTTGTCTCATCTGGTTGCAAGTTGTAAACTGATCCTAAAATCATCTTTTATGAAGCTTCACTTGGCTTCAAATGAATATATATACGGAAAGTTTGAGAGGCTATGCTATAGTATGCGTCAGAAATACTGAATTCTCAGTTTCTGTTCACAATGCAGCTCTTTCTTCTTCATAGTACACACTTGTATTACTCTTAATTAGTATATTTTGCCATGTCACCTGTTTCTTTTGGTTCAGGATTTGATCAAATCGGATGCTTAGACAGATAACTACACCCAAGACATAATGAAACATATTATTGAAGAAGACAATTATTGGACTTTAATTTCAAAGGGAAAATATTTGTTTAGTAATGCATGTATTAATGATCAAAAAAGTTGCTCTCACCTTGAGATATCTGTCTTTAATTTGGTGTTGTTAGTGCACTGCATAAGATAAAGAAAACTAACTTTAAGCACCATGAAGGCAATTTTTTTGGGCTTACGTGTGCTTCCAAATTCTTCTTGTTATATGCTTATGAATGATCCATGGAACACCATTTTTGTATCTAATGCCTTGGTAATATGGTCATTGTAATATAGCTTTCAATTCTTACCAAGGTATCTGATGTGTGCGTTGGACTATTACCCAAGGCTCTGATATGTTCAACTAACTTTTTGAATCTATTAATCCTTATTGAAAATTTAGTTAGTTAATGACATGTCTAAATTTTATATTTTTGTACGTGGAAAAACCATGGGACCTAGTCCAACCAGATCATAATCCACTATATGAGAGAGGTTACAGACTAAGTTACAAGACCCTAACCTAAAATCACCTAGTCCCTCCGACTCAGACTTACGCTAGATCTCCCCAGATCCTCGAGCCGCTGACCCGTTGACAGACTTGCTCCTCAGTCCTCACACAACGTGTTTATCCATGGACTTCTGATCTCCAATGACCAGGGATGTCCGATCAACTTTTTCTTAATGAGCCATCCTGTTGATGCTCTGATGGATATTCCCAATTTATCTACTTGCTTTGATATCTCAATCATATAGTATGGTTATCTAAGAAGAACCCCAATTGATTCTCAAAACTCTCTCTAAAATATAAATTCTCTTAATAATATGTAAAGAGTTGAAAGCTCCTGTGAGAGATACTCTAGACCGACTATAATTCCATATTTGTAGCCAATATAGGAGACCCATGTAGAGTGGTAAGTAAAATCCTTTTAAAATTCTGATTTGAATGAGTTTCCATAAAGAGTTGAAAGCCATTTACCTTTGCATAGATATGTGATTGAGCAGTGAGAGATTTGCGGTGTGTTTATCGTTCTTCTTCATATCACTTTCTTTTGTGATAGTATGACTTGACACGCATTACAACACAAAATTTTGAGTAGGAAATTGTGAACACGTGATCCATATACCTACCAGTAGCAATCCCTAGGTTGGTCGCAAAAATGCATTTATTCTGTACATTGCAAGAACACATTTTTCCCATAAATCGCAAGAATACATTTTATCCAAACAAATCAATAATATTCAGTCCCATCTTGTGTTTTGTGGTGTCTGGACTATATGCAGGATTAACTTTGCACTGCTTGACTGTTTAATCTTTGGCTCTATCTCCTTTCACCAACTTTTGCTTTACTGCAACAGTTTCAGGGATGCAATCCTTGAATTCTCATGGAGCATGATAATATTGTTATATTTTATATTTGCCTGTGTCTATCTACAAGGTTTCTGTCTGTCAGATTTTTGGACTGATGTCAGGTGATAAGTCAACTTTTAACGTTGCAGCTAGTCTTTTATTTTACAGTTAATACTCAGCAATGGTCACTGCTTGCATGACCTTTTATTTAAATGATGAAACTGATGCTAACCTAGATGCCTGACTTAGTTAAGAGATAATGTTACTTGATCTTCTGAGAAGGCTTGTGTTGCATTATGTATATTTGAGGTTACACCAAACCATTTCTTTTATATGGATACAGTATACTTAAATATTCGGGGTATCTAGCAAAGCTTATGTTTAGATTTTTTCCAGTGATTCTACATACATGATTTTTTATGTATGCAACATACTTTGTTTTAATAGAAATTAGTAATATCTTTAAAAGTCAAAACATATTGTATGAATTGGTTAGTTTCTTATCATCGCACATGTAATATAAGTATAACTTCACTCTGAATATTATACTCCCAAATGAAATCAACTTTTAGGCGCATAATAATAGGAACATGCAGCTTCTGAATATGTTTATGTTGTAAGATGTCTGTGGTGGCTTATATGGGGCACATTTCTCATGACAGGCTTGGGCAAATATCTGCAAGGGCATCTAATCAAGTAGAAGAGAAAATAAATCAGAAAACCCCACATCATACTCGTACAAGTAGTGTACCTCCTAAAGATCTGCCATCATTTGCGGAAGAGTACAGAAAATTGGCAATAGATTGCCTTAAGGTTTTACGTGTAGAGATGCAGTTGGAGACAATTTTCCATCTGCAGGTTTGGAAATATAACTTTATTGTTGATATTTATTCTCAATTTACAGTGTGCATTTATGAAAGCAATTATGCAAAGGTAATACTTCAAGTTACCAAGAATTTCAATTTAAACAGGAAATGACAAGTAGGGAATACTTGGAGGACCAAGATGCAGAGGAGCCTGATGATTTCATCATTTCTTTAACTGCGCAGGTGGGTATTATTGTGGACAAGTACAGCAAACATCATCACATTATTAGTCTTGCAGAAAATATGTTTATGTGAAGTTCAAAATTCAGTGCTTTTGTTTTTTACGATCTTGAGTTTTAGATGCATCTTCACAGTCAAACTGTTTGATAATTATTTGGTGATTTCAATAAAATATACACCAACTAGATCCTTGGCAAAAAAAAGTAAGTATCATTCTATAAGCCAAACGTTCCCTTTCAACAATAATCCCTGTATGGTCCACTGAAGAACAATAAAGTATTCAGATTTTCAATATAATACTAATGTAAACATCCATTGAATTGAAATATTAAGTGCCTCGTGAACAAAACCTCTTTAGGACCACTCTAACAATCTATTGTTGTAGCAAGATTGAGAGGCTTACACTTTATTTGTCTATTTGATAGGTGAGAAAATGTAGGAATAGAAAAAATGTTATATGTAAATGTTGATTTTTGGTTCTTGTGGTTTTGGCTTCTAAAAGAAAATTTAAAAATCAATTTGCTTATAGTAGACTGCAGTTATTTCTTTTCTCCCTCATGTCTAAATAATGGAAATTCTAAACACTCTAGAGTTTAATTTCTTTTGTATTCCTACTTTTGGCAACCAAAAGAGCATTATTTTAACTTCAGTGTTAGTTGAAGCACTTTCGTTCAATAGAAAATCCTGAATGACCATACACCTTTATGACCCTGGTTGTAGAAATTTTGTTGGTGCAGGAAGAAGCTTGTCCTAATTCGTTTTCCATCTATTGTTCTGTGCTTTTGATTTCTAGGAGCTTTATGCTATCTTATCTTGGTGAAAGTAGGGAAATGTAAAAAATAAATAAAGAAAGAAAGAAAGAAAGAAGGAAGAAGAAGTATTAAAGTTGAAATAATTTAATTTGAAGGGAAATGCTCTTGTTATTGAAATGCACTTCTCCAACTTTTTGTCAAATTCTGAATCCTTGTGAAAATACATAGAAGCAAATTTCTTATCTCTTCCATTTCTGTACTTATAGATAACACGTAGGGATGAGGAAATGGCCCCTTTTGTTGCTGGAGTAAAGCGGGATTATATATTTGGTGGAATATGTAGCATTGCCGCAAATGCATCCATCAAGGTTTGCAACTTTGCATGTCTTCTTACTCTGAAGTTTTGAGTTAAAAATTACTTTGCACACAATTTTCTGTTGCTTATATTTAACTGAAATTTTGCTGGAAACTGTTATGTTCCTCCAATTCATTACTAATGAGAGAATGCAAAATGTCTTTTTAGGCTTTGGCTGATATGAAATCCATCAACCTTTTTGGGGTTCAGCAGATATGTCGGAATTCAATTGCATTAGAACAGGTTAATTTTTCCATATCTTATTTCTCGTCTTTAAATGGTTGGAACAAAATTTTCCTCTTTTCCAAATAAATTGGAGACACTTGAGAAAGTTGTATCTAAGGTTTCTGATTTTGCGTATAAAACTATATTATTGGGGAAGTTGTGTGTTACAACAACAAAATAATAATAATAATAATAATAATAATAATAAATAAAATTCCATTGTTTAATAATTTCTGAAAACAGTTCTCCTATAGCCAAACACAAATGGCCAAGACTGAGGTTCTCTTGAGTCAATTTACTTTGTGGAGAAGTTGGCCTTACACATTGACCTTACTGATAAAAATGGCCTTTCTCGCTGCATGGAATGTTATTTTAATTCCAATGTTTGGCGAATAAGTATCTGTTCATGTTATTGTGTTTCTCTTAAACTATATATAATATACCCGAACTTAATTTTATTTATGTAGGCTCTGGCTGCTATCCCATCTATTGATAGTGAATCTGTACAATTGAGGTTAGATCGTGTCCGGACTTACTATGAATTGCTGAACATGCCATTTGAGGTAAGTCATCTGAGTTCATACTTCCCCACCATATTATAACTTTGTGTGGCCATCAGAGATAACTATTCTACTACTGTTTGCAGGCCTTGCTTGCCTTCATTGCAGAGCATGAGCAGTTGTTCACGGTTGCAGAGTGAGTTCTTACAGGCCTACAGCAAATCTAGATATATGTTTTTAGTAAAGAATAAGTACATACCTATCCTACTTTAAAAAGCAAGCCACACCCTACTTTTGGGGTTGGTTACTGGTTGGCATGTTGATCTTTTCGTTATTCATCATGTTACCCGTGTCACTATTTTCAATTAAGAAGACAAATGTTCAACTGATAATTTTAAGTAATTCAAAATATGCAAGGTCATTAGCCACTTGCTAAGTTGCCAACTCCCCTCAAATTTTTTTTTTTTTTTTTTCAAAGGTTTCCTTATCTCTCTATATGGGTTATTTGTCAAGCACGTGTGCATTGCTTCCAGTTATTGACGAGAAATTCTCTCTTATAGGTACTCTAATCTTCTAAAGGTTCAGGTCCCTGGAAGGGAGATTCCAGTTGATGCTCAGGATCGAGTGACAGAGATTTTATCCCATTAACTTTCTCAAGTTGGATATTGATTGAATTTCATGGATCCGAGACATGGAGACTAGCATGCGTACGAGAACTTGAATATTCTTATTTATAGTGGATGCTTGGACTGGATGGAGGAGCTATTTCCTTTGAAGTCAGTACCATACGCGTGCCACCTGGTTTTCGTTAATTCCTTTGAAGTCGGTACCATTCGCGTGCCACCTGGTTTTCGTTAATTTTTGACCGTATTCCTACTGTTATGAGGGTGATATTGTTGTGTTGTTATTATAATTTTATTCATACGTAGTACTCGTACAAGTTTTGTGGGCTTTGTTTTCAGACAATCTTTGGGGCTTCTGTTCAATGTTGGTGGGAACAGATCGCTAGTGCATTGTATGTCTTGTGATGTTACATGTAATATTCATGTTAGTAGTAGAAATGCGAGAAACAGAAAATAAAATTCTTAGATTGTTTTTACCACTCTTATAAAGAGCTGCTATAAAAATGGCACCAGTAAAATTGTGTTGTAATTTCCTTTCCTATCTAATTTCGAGGACAAATGACCACCTTTCGACAGGCAGGATTATATTTTTCGCTTCAATTCTCTCCTTTACGGGGAAAAACTTTGGACCTCATGAATTAGTTATCTACTGGTGGGTTGCTTTGAGAGTAAAGAGTTATTGCTATACTTTGGTTGGTTTCTAAAAGTCCCATTGGGTGTTGATTGCCCTTTTTATTTTTTTCTTGAAAGTTCAAGCAAACACAAAGACATTATATAAAATGTGTCTACAGATGTTCGAATACTCAATTTTTTACTTCATGAATAACTAAAAAAAAAACAGTGACAGACGGTTAGAAGGCCACATTACACATTCCTTCCACCTCTCTCTAACTCTCTCTCTCTATCCCAGCTTTCGTCTTTTTCTTCAGTTGCTCCCTGCTCCCTTCCATGGGAGTGGGGAGGTGCTAGTTGCCTCCCACGGCTTCAATAAACTCGGCATGTTTTAATAAATGTGCTTTGTGAATATTTTTTTACTTCGTTTTTGGTTTTGTACGGCTAGATTCGCTCATGATAGGTTTGTTTTCGGCTCGCATGGACGGATTTGTTGTTTTTCTCCGGGTAGATCTCTGATCTAGGTCGGTTTTGGGTTTTTCCTTGCCTAGATTGGATCCTTTTCTCTTTGATTCGATCTTGTGCGGGGTTTTATGTGTCAAAGTGCCTTGTAACTGTTGTTGATGATGGTTCGTGAGTAGGATGAGGAGATCGTTCCACGTAAGCCAAGAGATCTGAGATCAGTATCCAAGTGGAGATCCAAGCAATACAAGGGATTCTCTAAGTATGAAGATTAAGAAAGGGAAGGCCAACCTCGGTACCATGTAACCTCGAGCTTGTCAGAGGATAAGTGTTAATGTGGTGGTTGTGTTGTGTTTAAGGATGATTAACATCCCTATTTATAGTGTTTTCCTCCTTGGTCAACATCTTTTGGTCCTTTAGCTGAGCCCGCTCTTATCCTCAGGTTTAATGGTCTCTTCCTCTGACGGATGAGACACTGATGGATGGGTAGCGGCGCTTTGCCCCCCGGTCAAAGGAGGTAGCGGCGCTCCCTAATTAATGCGGGTCTAATCAAATGTCTTTCGCAATTAATGCATTGCTTATCCTTTATCGCTCGAGCTTAGATACCGGGTATCCTTTCCCCCTTGTGCTGGCCTCGGACTGAGGCGACCCCTTAGATCTCAGCCACCTATCCACATGTCCTCAGATTCCCGTGCTTCAGTAGGGATAAGCCCCTTTCGAGGTCCTGCCTTCATGACTTCGCAGGTTCCCATACCGGTTCTATCCCGAAGTCTTCTTTGCCAAGAAGGGAAACGTGTACACAGGTTAGTCGAGGTTGCTCTTTCAGAGAGCACCCTCGAGCGAGCCAGGGGGGGAGGAGCCCATCCGACTGGAGTGGGGCGCGTCCACAGTAGAGGAAGGGTAGCGTCCCCTTCCTCGACCAGTGAGTTCTGTCATTGGATAGGTACCTCGAGAATACCTAATCCACCGCGGGCACGCCAAGTCAGCACTGGCCAGTTGTGCCTATGTTGCCGAGGTGGCACCACTTAGTCAGCTATCGTGGCTGGTCATCAACATTTTGCCCCCCAGCTCGAGGTCACCAAGGGAGAGCTCGAGCAAATTATTAATTTGGTTCAGGTTTGCCGTCATTATTGTTGGTACTAAAGAGTCGCATGTTTTCAGTCTCGAGGAGTTATGTCGCTTTGACTTCCTAGGCCACATGTCGCTTTTTTACCGGTGGGCCGAGTTGCAACGCTTCGAATGTCGAGCCTCTGTCTTTTCGTTTGTTAGAGGCGCGATGCTTGGGATATCGATCCCTACTATTTAAGCCCACACTTGTTTTTTTCTCATGAAATCGTGCAAATCAAGTTCGACTTCTTAGAAATCTCACCCTCCCCCACTTTTACTCGAGGTAGGATAACATTGATGGCTTTACGCGACGATGTCCCTAACGTCCCTCCCATGGCTGAGTGGCGAGTTGCTCCCTATTTTGGCCCGAAGGATACCTTTTGGGCGAACAGCGATGAGCCTAGCGAGGTGGATGAGACCCCAGCGGGCACATTCCTGTTTGAGGGCGAGCCTTATGCACAGGCAGGAATACCTATCCTTCCTAGTTCGGTACTGTGATTTAGAGTCGAACGTGGTGACTTTCCCCATTCTAGTCTCGCTTTTACCGATCAGACCGGTCACGGCCGAGGCTGGGATCTATGGACGGATGCCATATTATCTGATGCTGAGTTTCTTGAGACTCTGAAGGCTTCAAGGATTGCAGACGCGGTCCGGAACACCCGCGAGCTAACCATCCCCCGAGACGTGCATGATCTTGCCCTTCTCGTATCTCGGTGGAGTCGCGATACTCACACTTTTGTTACCTCATGGGGCGAGTTTACCCCCACAATAGAGGATGTAGTACAACTTATGTGTTTGAATGTGTTTGGCGAGCACAACCCTGGCTCCTGGGTGCTTTCTGAAGACGAGGTCAAACTCGTTGCCAAGCTTCGCAGCGATGTCACCGCGGCCGAGAAGATCGCTTTGCGCTATCAAGATGACGGCCTTCGCGAGGAGTTTCCAGAGACTGGAAAGAAATGCACTTTCGTGTTGCTCCTTCGTTACTATTTTCGGGACTTTCCTCCTCAGGACCAAGAAGGAGAGGCCTCCTTCAATGGCCCTAAATGAAAAGACTCAGCTCGCCTCGCCGTTTTTCTTCTATCTTGGCTGTCGAGGTTCATTTTTCCAGGTCCTCCTGATGATGGACCGTGTCCGGATCGTATTCCTTTGGCTGTTAGGCTATCCTGCGGCAACAGCTTTCCTTTAGCCGTGCTATTTCTCGGTACGCTTTATCATGAGCTCGACTTGGCGCATGCCCGGATGGAACGCTCCATTGGGCGTATGAGCGTGGTTTCTCCTGTCAACACAATCTTCCTTCAAATGTTCTTATATGAGCATTTTCCCCGTTATGGCCCTCGCCCGACAGCACTTCCTCGGGACAGAGGTTTGAAGCGATCTTTTCAATGGCATAAACATTCCACAAAAAAGAAATTGGCGGAGTATATTGATAGGGAGAGTTGCTTTCTAGCTCGTCCCTATACTCACGGACCGCGGGTGAAGTGTTGTGCCTCAAAAGATGGCATGGTTATCTCAGGCAAGTATCTGAGACGTACCCCAGCCTTGACAATGATTGCTCTGTACACTGCGGGTTACCTTCCTGCCCTCCTTCCACCTAACTCAGGTGTGGGTAAAGTTTACAATCCCCATAAGGTGGCTCGACAGTTTGGATTGAATCAAGGGCTTGCTCGAGACTATGGATATGGTGCGCGCTAAGACCATAGTACCTATGCCTTGGGATTTCTACGCTTCATTGATTCTGAGGAGACCGAGCTCTTGAAAGATCGCCAGATTCTTTATGTTCCCTCGACCTCGCGAGTGGGACGATGGGGAGTGCAAACGAGAGCATACTGGAAGGAAGTGATCAATTATTTTAAGCAATTTGTGGTTAGCACTCCAGTTCCTGTCCCTGCTCGTTCTTTGTTGAAAAGTGACACCTCATTTCGTCCCTTTAAAAACACGTCGATAGCGACTCGCGGGAAGATTTGCAGTACCTCGGGTTTGCTTCCCTTGGTTTCATCTAGTGCCGCAGCGCCCGTGATAGCTCTTCGAGCTACAAAGACTCGTCGAGACAAGCGCGAAGTCGATCGGGACGTTAGTACTTTTGTCCCCGCGGCCACTTCTTCCAAGAAACCTAAGGTTAGTGCAAGTTATTGTCTTCGCAATTTCCATCATTTCTTCATACTTAACCATTCCTTGTTTATTTTCAGAACACCTCAAAGGATCCCCCCCTCGTTCACAGTTCTATTGCTACCGCGGATGCTTCTCTTCCATCTACTCGAGCGGGGGTGGCTTCGAGTACAAGATCCCACTCCGTGCTACTTAAGAAGACCTCTACTGTAGGTGCCACAGTTCATGTTTCAACGACTCGTACTGGCTTGGTAGTTCCTTCTGATCCACTTCACACTCTTGCAAGCGTCCTTAAAGACCCCGAACAAGCAGTAAGAGAGATTCTGGCATCGGACCTAAATCTCCCTGCACCTTCCCGTCTCGGGATGGGGAAAGAGCTGATCCCCTTGGCTCGAGGCTTAGGCCGTCTCAACGAAGAGACGGGAGAAGTCAATACCGAGGTGGACCCTGCTATGGGGACCTTTAACTTTAAGAGAAGCCTGTCTCACTCGACTTCAAACGTAGGTAAAATATATATATATTTTTTGAAAGACGCCTTTGTCTTTATGATGTTACAGACGTCGAAGCGACCGCCTCTGATGCAGCCGAGGCAGTTAATGGTTCTGAGGGTTATCATTCTGGTCAACGAGGTGAGGATAGCGACACTAGCTCGCAGGTTGAGATCGTTCACGTACTACCGCGAGAGCCCATTGCCGAACTGCGGGAGATGGTTGAGTCAGCCATCCAATCCCTTCCTCCCCCTGAAGAGGATAGCTTAAATGAGACGGGGAGCTCGTCCTTCAACGACTCTTCCAAAGACGAGGCCTCGGGCTCACATGGTCCAGAGCAAAATGATCTAAGTGTTGATTAAGTCGAGGCCATGGCTTTGTCCGAACCAAGGCGGGACCCGCATACGGCCAGCGAAAGACACCGTTCCCTTGAAGGTGATAAGGAGAGGAAAGACACCGAACAAAGTCTTAGCAGGCCAGATCAAGGAGATCGCGTTACTTCATGCATTTCATGGGGTGGTACCGCTGTTTCGAGGGAAAAGGTAGAGATCCTAGAAGAGATAAAGGCCAAGTATCCGCAAACTTTTGGAAATCTCGAGGGGAAGCTGCCTTTATTCCTGGAGTTTGTATACAAAACCACGTGCGAGCTCGTGGTAAGTCTCCGAGGGGCCAGGGATCGTTCCCTAGGCAGAAAGGAGCTCGACTCCCTAGATCGTCTTCTTGTAAATCTGAAAAGAGCACAAATTGACGTGAC